GGAATGGATGACTACGTATTGGGGGCCGTAGGGCTGTGACACCCGGCTGCGGGACGGGAGAGATAACCTGGAACGCTCTTCGCTGAGGTGTGGCTTGCCTGTCCTGAAGACTCATGCCTCCACTGCAATCAACTGTCCGAGCACCCTGCTGGTGGTGGTTCAGCAGGGCAAGCCCCCCTTGGGAAGGCTGCCGAGTGGCTGAGGCGCGGGCGACGGCAAGGGGTACGTCACGTCCCGATTTATGGGCCCAGTCAGGTCCGTCCAGGGCCTGAAGGCTTTTTGCCAGACATCCAAGGGCCCCGACGTTGATTTACGGTAGCGAGCCACAATGCCGACCCCTGGTGAGGCAGGCTCGAGAGTCATGGCGCATGAGACCTTGAAGCCATCTCATCTCTCTCATCTCGGCCCTGTTTCCCATTGTCGGCCAATGCGCCCATGGACATGGAGGCATCCTTGCCCCTCCCCTCCTCCCTCCTCACCCCCGCCATCACCACCACGACGCGGCGCGTTACGTACAACCCTTGACGCGATGCTGGCCTGGGCGATCGAGAACAGGGCTGCATGTCGTGGAACGACCCGCAGCTTGGGCTTTTGGCTCGTTCCAGACGCCGTCGTTTGTCGTCACGGGCAAACATGTCCTCGGGCCGCCTTCCACTTTGACACACTCCGCGCGCCCTCCACGGCAAAAAAGCTCGTGGATTGCGACAACCCTAGGATGGGGCCCCCCCGGTCGAGAGGAGGCCTCCATCACCTCGACGTCTCCCTCGGCGAATGAAGGGAGAAAAATGCTCGAATCATTTCTTACTCGTAATGTCGCTCGCGCCGCCGCACCATCGAGGAATTGGGTTCTAATCTTCGAGCATGGCACTCAAGCGAGATGCATGCCGTGATTCCGTCGGCCGCGATGGCGCCCGGCAAATTCACCGAAAGGCCGAGCGATGATGGGCGTTCCATCCAAAAGCCAATACTCCAGTACTGTACCGTAGTTACATGGGATACCGCCTGCTGTAAGTGCCTCCCGGGCCAAGCAGGTATGTTCGTTCAATACAAAATTACGTTAAGTAGCGTTCGAGAAGGCCGACACGGGCGGGCGGCGGGCGGGTGCTCGGTTGCTTTCCGGCGGGCCCTAGTGCATCGGACTGGAGAAATGGCCCGCTGCCATGCTATGCTGCATTGGGGAATGCGCCTTGTCAGGCAGACTGCCCGTGGTGGACGTGTCCGTCCCGTTGGGAGTGCCGGCTTTTGCCCTGAATGGGGCAAACGTGGTCATGCTGTAACTTTCACGATGCATCAAATCTCGCGCACGCAGGGCGACTCGGAATGGCGGCCAGACAGCCGGCGCTTCGTGCCCCTCGTCGGCGACCCTATCGGGCCTGGCCCCCTTCCTCGTCCAAAGCCTGCCGCTGGGCCGGGCTCGCGCGCGATGGCTAGCCTGCTTCCTCTCCCAAGGCTTGTTGCTCCAGCGCCATGCCATGCCCGTCCTGGCTTGGCAGGGCCCGGGAGACGGCTTCCCACAGCCTTGGGACCATTGAAGTCTTGGGTTCGGGGCCTACGGGGCCGCCTGGCGTCCGGACGTCCGGCCGGAGGGCTCGTTTCATGGGGTGGGAGGACGGTTCGGCGGCCGACCCAACTGCCATGCATTTGCCAAGATTCGTCAGTCATCTCAGCCTCGCCAACGGCGACACTGGTTTGCAAGACGAGTGCCGCTTCTCGGCTGGCGTTTGCCGTTCGACTCACGCCCCCTGACGTCTGCGTATCCTCGGACGTCCGCGGGGCTCGCTCCATACCTGTCAGTTCCTAACAGTTTGCGGAGTACTGCTGTGCCTTCCATCGACCGTTCTTCGGTGCAGTTGATGCCCTCCAGCAGTGGACCACAGTGATAATTATCACCCAGGAGGCCCTGCCAAATATGTCACCGTCGACGACCCGCCGGCTTTCCCGTCGGCATCGCAAGGCAACCGCCTGCAAGGTACCCGGACAGAGAGGGGCTGAGGTTGGTCATCTGCATCGGTGGTTAACAAGACGTTCTGCCGTGAGCCCACTTGGACTCGAGTCGAGCGGACAAAAGATCCCAGGCGCCGAGAGTCCTCGTAGCGCCCTCAATGCGCCAGCAGATGGAGCGTGGCCAGTAGCGTCGCCGCTGCCGCAGCCGTTGCCGTCGTCGTCATCTTCCTCAGTCACCACCACGCGTGCGCTGTGTAAGACAGTGAGTGGGCTTGTCTGGGTGCCCGTGGCTGTCGCAGACTCGCAGCCATCGCCCTAATTACTTCGGCGGCTCTTTTGGCGCTGGCATTTGGGTTTGGCGCCGGCGGCCACCCCCACCTGCTGCTTCGCCTGGAAGCCGCTAAAGTTCTTTATTACTATTTTGCGCGCCTTGGGGCGTTTGTGGCCCGGGCGCGCGCCGTTTTGAAGGCAGGTTGTATGATTGCGCGAGAGCTGTATCAGCTACTACCTAGTAGGTACTAGGAAGGCTGCCGAATTGGCTGGCTAGGTGTACCTATGCAGGTTGTGTCCTCTAGGTACCTACAGGTGGTTAATGGGAGCCCACGATTTACCACGCGAGCAACGGCGGCGAGAAAGAGCGTCAGCATCCAACATTAGATACGAAGCACCATCATCACACTCGCAGACGTCGAACCGAACGAACACTGGCTGTTCGTCCACTGCTTGCTGGACCCTTGCCGTCTGCGTCGGACTGTGTCTTGGAGGGGTGGGTATGATTTTATGGGCTGCCCCGTCTGCACCGCCTCATCGCAGGTCGGCGCCCCCGACTGCCAGCAGGTGCTTCTGGCGGGCGCCATTGGCCGCGGCACCTGCAGTCACCAAAAGGTGGCACCTACAGCCCCCCGTGGATCAGGCATGGAAGTCAGGCCAGCGACCGCGCGGGTCCGGGTACAGCGAGGCCGTCCAGCTCCAGATGCTGGGGGACTTGGGTTCGCGGCGAGAGGTTCCCTCCATCTCAGGTAGCTCCCTATCTAGATCGCCGTCGTCCCGCGTGCAGGCCGAAGTCGTCGTCGCTGCTCCCCCCACCCCCCCCCACTCCCGCGCTGCAGGCGCACCTGGCCGTCTGATGGAGCTCCAGTCCTTCGACGGGCTGTCACTCGTCTCACCTCACCTGAGGCGCGCCGCCGAGCTGTACCTTCCTCAGGTAGTAGGGCCAGCAGTGGCAGCAGCAGCAGTGTCCTAGGTACCTACAGCCGGTTGCTCGTGCCGCGCCAGTCATCACTGTCCCGCCTCTTGTCGCCGCCGCCTTCGCCCTCGTCCTTCCAAGTTCATCTCCCCCCATCCCCAACTGCCACCACAGCGCCCAGCCCTACGTCCGCCCTGCCCTGCCCTCGCATCGCCTTCGCCTCGCCTCCCGATGCGGCTTAATCTGCGCGTCCCTGAACTGCAACCGCGAACACAAACCGAATACCCGCCCTCCGTCTCCGTCTCTCCACACACACGCGCCCCGACCGACAGAAGCTCTCGGCCCTCTGCTGCTGCTCCTCCTCTCTGCCCGCGCACCACCCACGGCCGCTCGTACCAACCATCGCGCGTCTTTCTTGGCCCGCCGCCGTGACCTCTCGCGCCGTTCGGACTGCGACAAGGTTCCGTCGCTGTGACTTTCCGTGCCTAAGTTGTGCGCGCCCACAGCCTTTCCAGCAGTGACCTCTCTCTCGCCGAGCAGCCAGCACAGCCAGCGCGCACCTTGAAACGGCGGCCCTCGACTCGCACCACCCCGTCCACGCGGCCCTGGCCTGGCTTCCTCGACATACCCCCAGCGCTCCTCCATTGCATCACCCGTCCCCAGTATCTCTTGCACAGCCCCTTCGACAGACCACGCCCCCAGTCTCACCCCCCCTTCGGCTGTCAGAAGGCTGCCTTGGGAAATCTGCCTCGCGATCCTCACCGCGGCGGCCCCAGCATCATGGATCAACAGTCCCACCACGGCCGGTCGCCGTCCGCGTCGGCCGGCCGCCAGACCCATCTACACCAGTCGCAGCCGGACCAGCAGCTTGATATAAACCAATCCTCGCATCACTCGCCCTCCCCCGGCGCGTTCGGAACCGACCCTTCATCTGTAGGCCTTGGACTTCAGCAGCAACACCACAGCCTAGCCGACGCGGGCGTCTCTGATACGAGCTTCGACTCCCTCGGCGGCCCGGCCGACTTTCTCGCTCCGAGTCAACAGTCGCAGGCATTCGCGCAGTCCAACGTCTCCGACCCGGCCCTCTTCGACCCCGGCGCCCCCTTCGGCCAGCAGCAATCTGGCGCCGGTCCCGACCCCGGAGTCCTCTCCTTCGACTCGCAGTCGCAATCCCAGTCCACCGCAGCCTACCTGTCGCCCAACATCAACGACGGCGACTTCTCCCTGTTCCCTCCCTCGGGTGGCCAGGGCGATCACTTCAACGCTCCCCTCTTCGAGCAGCCGACGCTCAGTCCCAACGACCTCAATACTATGACCTCTCCCCAGCCCCCACACTCTCCAACGCCGCCCAACCTGCTTCAGCCAGACAGCCATCACCCCGGGTCTGCCCAACACTCGCCGTCCTTTAGCCAAACCCAGTTCTCTTCCCCGCCAGGCGGCCACTCGAGGAACGTGTCCCTCGGTCCGGAATCCGCACTGCTCCCCGGTCAAATAGCGGACTGGTCCCAGCCTCAGTTCCAGGGCCATCGTCGGACGCCTTCCGAGTACTCTGAAGTCTCGTCCGTTTCCCCGTCTCCCAACCTTGTTAGCTCCGACTCCTTTGACGACCACGGCGGACATTCGCCTCTCCAAAGAGCATCTGACGGCAGCCTCTACCAGGAGGTGCTCAACATTGGCGCCTTTAGCATCGCCGACACTCGCGGCAGGAGCCCATCTCACAGCCCCGCCATCAGTCCGCGCATCAACCCTCAGCAGCTGCCGGATATGAACCAAACAGGTTTTGGACTCGCGCCTCCGAGCGCCAATTACGGCGCGTATCCGGGCCTCTCACACGGGGGAGACTCGTTCCCTTCGCTCCAGCAAGGCGGTGATATGTCGCAAATGGCGCCTCCCGCCATCAACATCGACTTTGCGCCCAATAACTCCAAGCCAGGTCTCTTTGAGCAGCCGAAGCCTCACATGGACCAGGACTCTTTGACGCCACCGGAACGAGGTATGTTTGCGCATTCGTGAGGCATAGCAGTTGTTCGCTGAGACTAACGACCAATCACTCCTAGGCCGACTCAAGTCCCGCCCTCGCTCAGTGACTGACCCTTTTCACCCAGGAGGAGCGGGCATGGGCCGGCAAGGCAGCTCCAACAGTCTCTCCCCTAACGCGTCTCTGTCACCCCGGTCCGAGTCGTCCCGCTCGCTGTCACCCTTGGACAGGCAGGGGACTGCCTCTCCCCGGGGGCGTAGACAATCTACATCTGCCGTGCCCAATAACGTTATTGCGCTGCGCCTTGCGGACCCAGAGTACCAAGCCAGCCAAGAATCTGGGGGCGCAAAGCGCGTTCAGAAACACCCTGCCACCTTCCAGTGCACACTATGCCCCAAGCGGTTCACACGAGCCTACAACTTACGGTCTCACCTAAGGACGCACACTGACGAGCGGCCTTTCGTGTGCACAGTCTGCGGCAAGGCTTTTGCCCGGCAACATGACCGGAAACGACATGAGAGCCTACATTCTGGAGAGAAGAAGTTTGTTTGCAAGGGTGACCTGAAGGCCGGCGGCCAATGGGGCTGTGGCCGACGCTTTGCCCGCGCCGACGCCCTGGGTCGTCATTTTCGATCCGAGGCCGGGCGCATATGCATTAAGCCACTTCTGGACGAAGAAATGATAGAGCGGCAGCGGCAGTGGCAGGAGCAGAGGATGCAGCAGAACATGGCCCAGAACATGGCACCACCTCCCATGAGCATGGATACCTATCCGATGGATGCGAGCGGCCAGTATGCGCTTCCCGCGGCGCTCTTGGCACAATACCCGGCGCTGGCCCAGATGAACTGGTCCCAGTCAGACGCGGGCGGCGGCATGGATGACGACTTGAGTGGGCGTTCCTCGTTCGACGCCAGTGATTACGATGACGGTGATGATGGCGGCTACGTGAGCGGCCCCGGGACCGGGTACGGAGAAGGGAGCATGAGCCAAAACTTTGGCGAAATGGGATACGCCAGCGACTTTGGCGGGCGTTAGCATGAAGTGGCCGTGAAGCCAACCCCCCTTCTTCTTTTTCATTCTTCTTTCAACAAGCTCTCTTTCTATGAACGCCGGAGTACGACCGTTGGGATGAGGACCTTACTCTCCCGCGGCCCAGATTTTAGTTTCTATTGACGATGTACACAAGTTGGATCTCGTGCCGCGGACAGCGGGCGCCGCACCGGTTTGGGGCACTTTCTTTCGTTCATGTGAGGATCTACAAGCGTATGACTTCTGGGACCAGTTTGATTTCGCCAACTTGGGTCAGGGACAAAAATGGAGGATAGACTAGGGACCTCGCATTAGATACCAAGCTCCCGCGTGGACAGCCTTGAATCTGATTCTTTTACGACCACTATTATCATAGAGACTGTGGCGTGCAAGGGGCGAATCTAAAGGCCTCTCACCGCCGTGTCCTGTTCTGTCTCTAGGTAGCCCATCTCCTTTCCCTCCAGGGTTTCCTGCGGAACTATTCCGTCAGGCACCAGCGCTCAATCTCCGCGTCATGAGAAGCCTGGCTTCCAGAAGGCCTCCAACGCCTCCTACGGGTGTGCCTGTGCCTGAGCCCTCGACGGTGGCACTGCTCCGCCACCCCTTTTATCAACATCCCCCCACTCAACGGTTGAAGGCGTCGAAAGTTGAGTCTGTTGTAGGAAAGTAGCAGCCGGCGTGCGCAGGCTCTATCACGGTGTGACGTGTGATGGCACTTTTTTCGATTCCTTCTGCCCCGGTTTGCCTGCGTAAGGAGGGCAAGGGGCCGCGAGGGGGGGTGCTGGTCTGTTCAGCCTCGCTACCTAGGTACATGTAGCTAGTATCGCGCAGCCTGCTTTCGTGGACATCTCCACATGAGAGTGGAATCGGAGGGGAAACTTTGGAGATTCTTGGTATGGAACATTGTTTGGTCTAGGGATGGCGTATGTTGATGCTCTGCCCCTTGTCGTGTGATGTGCAAGTGCGTTGGTGACGAGTCTCGACGTGGAAACCATCTCCAGGTGGTGACGAGGCTGATAACTGTTCCTGTCGTCCGCGGGCGGCTTTGTTCTTGGCATGAAAGTGCTCTTTGCGACGGCTACATCTCCCTGTCCAGTTTGAATATGGAGACTTGAGTCTGGAGTATCTAGCGTTTGATGTGGTACCCATGGAGCCCAACCGCGAGGCAAGAGTTCAACACCAGGGCCGGCCTGCTTTGGCTGCCATTGATTCTTTCTACGGCGTCTAAGGAGATGGAATCAGACCTATAGCCTTACAGCATCAGAAAGGGGGAGGTTTTGGTTCAACTGCGTTCTATGAGGAAGTTGAATGAAGATGTTTCCGGGCACAGCGCCCTCTCGTAGCTACACAATCAAACCCCACGTCCGCGGAACCTCTCGGCCAAGTGGACGCCTTCTACGTAGCTCGTATGTCCACCAGTCTCAAGGCGTGTGCGAATTGCGAAGGCAGCACGCTAGGTTTGAAAGTCCCCCCTTGGCTGATCTCCATGCATCGGCCATCACAACGGGGCACATGCGTCGTGCTCCAGTCGCAAACCTATACTCGATCGGAAGCAAGAACAGAGGGGCCTCGGAGTCTGCCTTGCCACTACCGCTGTCCCTACAGCTGCCCTCCCCGCGGTGGGAGGTGGTGCGTGTCTAGTAATTCCTGCGTTGCAGCCCTACACACCTCAATGGGTTCCCGCGGTGCCGGCACCCTCCCCCCTTTAGTCCCCCCTGAAGGTGAACAGGGGCCAAGCGCAGCAGGCGGCCTCGGGAAATTGGACTGCGCAACGACATCCGCGGAGTGTGTCGAGGGACAGAGTATGAAACGAAACCGGAGAGGTGGGCTATCGATCCATATCCGCAAAGCAGACTGGCTACTGCCAGGGGCCTAGTTAGAGCGATGGCGGCGGCGGTGTTCATTTCGGCCTTCCCCCAGTTGTCGCCGGGACGTCCACTCCGGGGACCTCGGGCCAGTCTCATATTTCCACGGAAATCGCTAGGATTCCCAGGCGGTGCACTCTTTGGTCTGAGTGGGCCTCCGGCAAAGAGACACATCGATTGCTCGCAACTTGTATGTATATACCAGGCGCCGTCATCCAGCCGATGGGAACTTGGTTTTCACGCACCACACCGCAGCCCTCGAGTGATTTCAGTCTTTTGAAATCATTCTGAACTTCGTTTTTTTGGCCTTGCACTCCCAGGCGCGGAGCGTCACGCACCTCCCCAAAGCCGCATCATCACCACGGGCGGTGCCCAGGTGAGGCTCGGAATCAAGGACGAGCGAGTCTCGCGTAATGGGCGCGCGCGGCGTCACGCACGACTCGTTTGCTTGACCCGACGCGTACCATGAGTCGGGTTTGCACGCGATGGGCAGGGCGCGATCCCAAGCCATTGGGGCGAAGCCTCCCGTCGAGAATCAAAGTGGTTCTCGAAGTGTGGCTGCGCAGTCCGCAGTCGGGGCTGGCGGGCACAGTCCGGCGCGGAGCAAAGTGGGGCTCGGGGCTGGATGTTTTCGGCCGTGGCCCAACGACGGCCCCGGAGACCCCCGTTGGACGGCCGGCGTCCGAGAGGCATTGTACCTTCTTTCCCTACGGTCCCCGTCTTCGACACCGGCTAAAGGCGCTCCATTACTTGATACACAATGCAGGTCGACTTACAACCTGCGATGGTCTCACAGCCAGGCTTCATCGTGGGCCGTCAAGTGCACGTACCATTCTCCGGCCTCTTCACCGTGGCGGCGGTCGGTCTGCACTACGTGAAACAAAGAGTTACCTCGACGGTAACACTCAGTCAGGGGTTCTACGCTGCAAGAAAGTTCCGCAGAGCATGACGTGCTGACGACGCGTGTACCAGGTCATCGACCCTGCAGTGACACCGTGCATATCGCCTGAGGCTCCGGTCACGTTTCGACACAACCTCATATCACAGTGTATTTTCTGCAGCCGAACGCCATCATGTCAATGGCTGGCTTGATGCCCACCGCTCGGTCGCGGGTGAGCTGACGATCCGTTGGCTCGTGCAATGTGGCCGCGACTGACAGTCCCCCGCAAGGCCGATGGACGCGGCGTGGAACTCTACACCACGCTCGTGGATTCATTGGGTCTGACCGCCAGGTGGTCGTATCAGCCGTTGAGATTGCTTGCATGACACTGTCAACGTGTCAGTGGCCTGGGAACGCGCCGTCCTATGGCTGCCCGTTGTTGTTCAGGCTGTCAGGTGGGCGCTTCGTCATGCCCGCAGCATCTCGACGGAGCGCGCCTGCATGCTCACATGTTGCAGAATCGGAAAAAGAACAGATTGCCGTCTCGCACGGATACCCATGGCAGCCCTGGTGGCCGCGACAACAGCGCGTGTCCCAGACTGGGGCGGCAAAATTTTTTGCGGCCTTTCTCGACGAGCGAATGCTCGCGGATGTCGAGGCGGTGAGCATGGACGGTTCATGCTGGCGCTCAACCTAGAGGCTGGTTGGTCAGCCCCGAGTCCTGACGCGCCTTTAGTTCCCGAAGCCGGACGGACCTAGCGACGCCTTTGTCCCAAACGGCGCCCCGTTACCTGGACGCGGGCGCATGGCTGCCCAGCGCCGAATGTATCAATACCTCACCTGCGGCGCCACTGGCCCCAGCGCAGCGATTAGCGGCTGTGATCCCCACGGCGGGACGACGCGAGCACCGTGTTGGTGGTTTGGCCCGGAGTTTTGGGTCCAGACTGTCGAGGGCATTGTTGGCGGCTGTACGACAAGTGCTTGTAGATTTGCCGTGATGATCGGAGGAGTCTCTGTTCGGGATTGCGTCATCTGCTGGCAAGCACGTCCGGGCCCCCTCAAGGATGAAGATGACCCATGGCAGTTGGCAAGGTAAAGGGCAGAGACACGGACAAGCCTCTCTTGTCGTTTCACAGTAGTTGTCTTTTCCCTGATGGCGGCGGCGGCGGCGGCGGCGCAAGGTCGAGGGCAATGCTACCTTGGTGCTTGGCTCCAAGGCACAGCGGCAGAGGCTCACTTAAGTCACTGCCGCGGGGCGACGGCAATGTCTCAGCTCGCGTGAGACGCATGATGCCGCCTGTGACAGGGATACGGGCCCCAGGAGGAGGGCAAATCTGGAAATCCCCATCTCCGCTCTCAGGCCACGAGCCGGAAAGGGAGGCGGAGGTTCGGCGCCCAAGAGCGAACAGATGGCATCTGCGGGAGCGGCGTCGTTGCAGCTCATGACGGGTCAGATGTTTGCTCGCAACAGCGGGGAGGCGGTGATTGACCGGATTTCTCCATGGGCGAATGAAAGAGGGCCTCTCTTCTGTTGCAGGTAGTTCTGCAGCTGAGAGCGCGAGGCGTGATCCTGTATGTATGTCCGAAGCATCACCGGGGATTGCCATTCCAGTCTGCTTGGAACAAGCCGACTCGCGGTACTGATTGACACCGGCAGGTTGGTCACAAGGCGAGGCAGGTGAGCTCCGCTCACTCTTTCCCCAGCCCTCCATCGCTCCTGCGCGCCTGCTGGACGAACCTGGTTGACCCTGGTCCCGCGGTCCACACAAGTTCACAAGGGCAGGAGCAATGGGCATCAACTGGTGCGAGGTGGACACCATCTCGCGCCCGGCCGGCGTGACAGGGGACTCTCGGGAGGGTCTGGTGACGGTCAGGCCCAACCTGAGCTTCGACTCCTGTTCTCCTGTAGGTACGATGGGCGCGCCCCGTCGCCTCGCCCCCGCCACCACCCCGCTCCCGCTCATTCCCAGCCATTTTTTTTGCGTGGAACTCACGCCGTTGCCCCCCTGCGATGCCGTACCGTGCCATAACCTCCATGCTGCACCATGCCGTGTCAGCCAGGCTGGTCACTGGAGGCCCTGCCCTCTCCCTGTACTATCCAGTCGCCTGGTTGCGTGGTCCAACTAGGAAATACTTATCCCACCAGAGCGCGGCAAGAGCCAGTCGCCACGCTGCACAAGCGCTGCCCGCTGCCCGCTGCCCTTTTGCCCCTCGGCCCGCTGCTGCACGCTGTGCCCCACCGCCCCGTCGCAAGGGGAATGGAAAAGCAACACCGCCAGACAGACAACCGACAACGGGGACTCATCGCAACGTTCTCGTAGGCCTACGCGCCCACCCCAGAGGCCGGGGTTGGCCGTGATATGTGACCCGACTGCTTCCGTCCTTGTCCGCCGTCATATGCGCGCTTCTCCTACCAACCTCTTTTCTCTTCACCAAAACCTATTACTGTATTCGTTAGCCATGTGCACGCAGGGTCGTCGACCCCAGCACACCACCACTCGGTCCAGCATACGAGTACGGTACAGTCTTGACTAACGAGTAACGAGTACAAACTTGGGCGGCTGCTCGTGCCCTCCCGTCCGTGCTGTGCCGTGCCCGCGCGCGCCACTGGGCCAACTAACTCGAGGAGGTACCAAACTCGAACAGCGTCCGTCAGGGATCACCAAAGGAGGCGTCGCCGCGACCCTCTGTGCATGCGCGCGCGCGCATGTTTGATGTCAGATAGACAGCCGCAGCACAGGACAGGTATGCTGCTCTGCCGCACCAAGCAGTGCCTCTCCATCCCATTCGCGGCCCTACTCACCTACTAATCCTCCGCCCAGCCAGTCGTCGCGCGCTGCGACGGATCGCTCTCCTTTTGGTGCGACATTGACACACTCGCCTCGGGTCGGACGATCCAAGCAAGGGCGGCGGCGGCTTCATTGGCCCTGTTGCTCATCACCGCCTTGTGCTCCCCCCAGGAGGCGGCGGCCAATTTTTTTCTCTCTCCCAAGCCCCTTTGAGGACTTTTCCTCTTGCTTCGGATCGCTCGAACCTTTCGAGGTAAACGGCGTTAAATTCCGTTACGCTCAAGAAAGAGGCGTCACCGCGGGCAAATCTGCCGCGCAGTCACGTCCGTCTCCGTCGCGACTCCGCCTCTGGCTTCGATCGCGCCCCCCGGTTTGCGCTCGACCGAGTCGATCGGGCTCGTCAACCCGCGTACAAGACACGCGCCCGACCATCCCGGACGTGCTCCAGGGACATCAGCGTCGTCGCACAAGAACCCAAACGTCATTGCCTAGACGCACTCTCGGATCGTGCTCCCGCTCCCGCTCCCTGGTCGCGTTATCTTATCCAGCCCCAGGCGAGCTTTAGCTCCGTCAGCGACCTGGGTCCCTGGTCTGCTCGTCTCGCCCACGATCAACCTCGCCGCTTGTATTTTCTTCTTCGCCATTTACCAGCGCTTCCCCGCCGATCAACTGCTCGTTCCCCTTCTGCCAAGTCCAATCTCTAGGCAATTTTTCCCAAGCATATTGCCATAGCGCCGCGATCTCGAGTTCGTCGCGCTGTCAACGTTCCTCCCGGCCTTTGTCCTTGACACGCAATTCCACGATCGTTCACTTTGGTCTTCGGAGCCTCGAGCCCACAGCTTCCATGACCGTGACGTCGCCTGCCTGCATTTATACGAGCTTCAACGTCCACAATGGCCGCGGCCGAGGTTTCGAGGTTCACCGCAAGCTTCAGCGGAAGCGATCCCGCCACCTTCGAGACCAGACACTCGACGACTGGATGGGATAAGAGATGGCTGCGGGCTCAATTGAGCCTCATTTCATGCGCCTGGGTTTTGAAGAGAAGGCATTCCGAGGTATGTGGATAACTCTACCGCAACTCTGCACCTCACCCGACTGTGTGGCGCCTCGACGCGAATGCTAGTTACGTCGTCCTTGTTCGCCCGTCAAAGGGCCTGATGACGGCGTAGCGTGAAGCCGAGCTCAAGCGCAGATGGACACACAGGGCCTAACACCGGTATGCAAGTTCATCAACTAAGTCGTGCTGCAGGGCCGCTCAACCACCATCTCGGTGCGATGGCGAAATGGTGAGCCTCTGTACGCTCCAGATTGCTCGCCAGCATGGTCACGGCGACTACCCGTCGGGAACGAGACTACCCACGACCACATATCAGATCCAGCCGAGACCGATTCCGCGGCACGTCAGCGAACGCCCGGGACATCTGAGCATCTGCTGTTGCCGTTGTCAGACGCCAGCAAGCGCGACAGCTCCGGCTCCAGCAACGGCCTGTTTCGGGACCCTGCGCTGGATGTTGTGGTCGATTGGAACTCACAGCATGGCATCTACGAGGCTAAGAAGAAGAAGAAGGCGGCTGCGACTTCCAACAAATTCTTTGACGAAGATCCTGAGGAGAAGAAGGATGAGAATGCCGAAGGAAATGGTGGCGGTGACCAGGGTGGTGGTGATGCCGGCGGCGGCGGCGACGCTGGCGACAGCGGAAATGCCGGAGCAGGTGACGGCAGTGGTGATGGAAATGGCGACGACGACAAGGACAAGGGCAACGGCGATGCCGGTGACGCTAACCCTGATGACGAATGGGCAAACTTTACAACAGCCAAGTCCAAGAAGAAGAAGGGGAAGAAGGGCGCAGCTGACCCTGTTGCGGATACCGCACCTAGCTTGCCAACTGCAGACTTTGGGGGAGATACGTTCCATGAGATCAAGCTCGGTGACGACTCGGGCAAGATTGACTTAAGTTTCGGCTCGTCAGACAACAAAAACTCGTTCGGCAACTGGGGCACGAAGTGGAACACAGGTGGCACAGACTGGCTGGGTGGGGAAGGGGAGACAGGCACAGCCGAGAAGAAGGACGATCTCGACTCGAACCCCTGGAGCTTCAGCACCGCAAAGTCTAAGAAGAAGGGCAAGACTACGTTCACGTTCGATGCCCTGGAGCCGGAGGAGAACGCCGAGCCGGCCGCCAGCACTGAGGCCAAGGACGATGACTTCGGCTTCACGGTAGCCTCCAAGAAGGATAAAAAGAAGAAGACGAGTGCCTGGGGCATGGAGTCAACAGAAGAGACGAAAGAACCTGCCACCGAAACCCAGGATGCGTCCGATCCCTGGGGTTGGAGCTCGACGTCAAAGAAGAAGGGCAAGAAGAATGAGCCTGAGCCGGAACCGGAGCCGGAACCAGCCCCTGAGCCAGCCGCCTCAGCGCCACCACCGGAGGATGACTGGTTTGCCCCCGTCACTAAGGGCAAGAAAAAGAAGAAGGGGGCTCTTGCGGTAGTCGAGGATCCGCCTCCAGTTGAGGAACCAAAGCCCGATCCCGTCCCAGAGAAAAAGGAAGAAGCCGACGACCTCTGGGACACGTGGGGCACCTCGAAAAAGGACAAGAAGAAGAAGAAGGGTGCTGTCCTGGAGGAGCCGCCAGCTGAAGAACCTACCCCCGCCCCTGTCGAACCTGCCGCGGACGATTTCTGGGGGACAACAGTCACGAAGAAGGGCAAGAAGAATAAGAACAAGGTAGCAGAACCAGAGCCTGAGCCTGTTCCGGAGCCCGTCCCTGAACCACCAAAGGAGGAAGCCGAGCCCCAGAAGAAAGAGGATGACATTTGGGGGTTCTCTACCAAATCGTCCAAAAAAGACAAGAAGAAGAAGAAGGACCCATTCTCCTGGGACGACCCTGAACCCGCTCCTGAGCCAGAAGCCGCCGCGCCCGAGCCCGAGCCCGAGCCCGAAAAGAAGGACGACGATGATTTCTGGGGCAGCTTTGGCACAACCAAGAAGAGCAAGAAGAAGAAGGCCAAAGATCCAGAGCCCGAGCCCGAGCCCGTCGAGCAGGCGCCGCCGCCTCCCCCAGAGGAGCCTGAAAAGGAACCTGAAAAGAAAGAAGACGACGACTTCTGGAGCAGCTTCGGGACGTCCAAGAAGGACAAGAAAAAAAAGAAGAAGGGCCTCGTTGAGGAGGTGCCATCACCGCCAGAGCCTGAACCTGAGCCTGAGCCTCCCGCCCCTGAACCCGAGCCTGAGCCCGAGAAGAAGGACGACGATGACTTCTGGGGCAGCTTCAGCACCAAGAAAGACAAGAAGAAGAAGAAGAAGGGTGTTGAAGAGGTCAAGGCGGAAGAGCCTCCTGCTCCTGAGCCTGCACCAGAGCCCGAGAAACCTGCAGACGACGCGTGGGATATCTGGGGCGGCAGCAAGAAAGACAAGGACAAGAAAAAGAAGAAGGACTCAATTTTTGCAGACTTGGGTGAACCAACCAAGGAGGAGGAACCCAAGCCTGTAGAAGAGAAGAAGGACGATGACGACATTTGGGGCTTGGCCACATCCAAGAAGGACAAGAAGAAGAAGAAGGGCGGCATTCTGGACGATCCACCAAAGGAAGAGGCCAAGCCTGTAGAAGAAAAGAAGAAGGACGATGACCTTTGGGACTTTGCTTCTTCCAAGAAGGACAAGAAGAAGAAGAAAGGTGACCTTATCCAGCTTGATGAGCAAGAGGACAAGAAACCTGCAGAGGACCCTCCGAAGGAACCCATCGAGGCCACCGGCGACGACGACTTCTTCAGCAGCTGGGGAACCGGTAAAAAGGACAAGAAGAAGAAAGCCGTCGATGATTCCTGGAAACCGGACAGCATCGAGGAGCCCGCCGACGACTTCTGGGGTACAGTCACCAAGAAGAAGAAAGACAAGTCCAAAAACGAGCCAGTGGAAGTTTTGGATGACATTACCGGTGAGACAGTCCAGCCCGATGCAGTAGAGGAGACCAAGGACAGCAAAGGCGATAACGACGACTGGGCCGAGGCTTCATCGGCGAAGAAGAAGTCCAAATCCCGGAAAGATGCCTTGGCTGATCTACCTCCCCCCGCCCCAACACCCCCCGCTATGGATTTTGCTGAGCCTGAAAACCAAACAGGAGACCCCGACAGCGCCCCGTGGGACGTGCCTTCTACGTCAAAATCCAAGTCCAAGGATAAGGAGGCCGACAAGGACAAGGACAAGGAAAAGTCCAAGAAGGAAAAGGAGCCCAAGCTGAGTGAGAAGGAACTCAAGAAGCTCGAGAAGGAGAAGAAGAAGGCCGAAAAGGCCGAGAAGGCCGAGAAGGAGAGGCTCGAGCAGGAGGCCAAGGAGGCCGAAGAGCGCGAGGCCGAAGAGCAGGCCGCACGCGAGGCTGAGGAGAAGGCGCGTCTCGAAGAGGAGGAGAAGGCTCGCATTGAAGAGGAAGAAAAGGCCCGTGTCGAGGCGGAAGCTGCTGCAGTCATCCAGGAAGAGGAAGAACTGGCGGCGCTCACGGAGAAGAAGTTCAAGAAGGGCAAGCTGACCAAGAAGGACACGGAAAAATTCAACAGGCTTACCGAGAATGCGGCCAAGAGGGCCGAGGAGAAGGCTGCTGCCGAGGCGGAGCAGGCTGCTAAGGAAGCAGAGGAGCAAGCAGCTCGCGAGGCAGAGGAGCACGCGGCACGAGAAGCAGAGGAAGCTGAGGCGGCCAAGAAGTCCAAGAAGAGCTCCAAGTCCAAGGACAAGGACAAGAAGAAGGACAAGAAGTCCAAGGAGCCCGAACCCGAGCCGGTCCCGGAGCCAGAGCCGGAGCCGGAGCTCAAACCCGAGGAGGTCGAGGAGCTCCTCTCCAACAAGGACAAGTCCACCAACGACGCCTTCAGCTTCTGGGGCATCAGCGGCAGCTCCAAAAAGGCAAAGAAAGGTTGGTTGCCTCAGGCGCAGGGGGACGCGACGACTACTGCGACGCCACCACCACGCTACCCCAAGATTCCCCCTCAAAGCCAAACCAATCTCACGGGACGAGCCGAAATTGGATTGCTGACTCATCGGGCAGTTCTGGAAGATGCGACGGACGCCAAGGACACGACACCCTTTGGCAAGGCGACTGATGGCTTTTCGATGAAAGCGACGACGCGAAAGCCTGTTGGGGGCAAAATCGCCGACAAGCTCAAGTCGTTTGAGGCTGCGCCCGAGCCGCCGCCTGCGGACCCCGTGCCGCCGCCTCCACCCCCGCCTCCAGCCGCGCCGTTAAAAGAGGACAAGAAGAGCTCCAAGTCCAAGAAGAAGTCCAAGGACGCCGACGACGCCGAGCAGGACAGCGCTTCGTCCAAGAAGAGCCACAAGTCGTCCGAGCTGCCGGGAAGCTTCCCTGCCGACGAGGAAGAGGACGAGTCCCACGCCGTCGTTGTCGACATGGCCGCAAAGGACAAGAAGAAGAGCAAGAAGAGCAAGTCCAAATCGGCTGCGGACGACGCGCCGCCGCCGCCGCCGCCGCCGCCACCCGTCCCCGATGCGCCGCTGACCCCGCCTCCGGAGCCCAAGCCGTCCAAGAAGGAGCGGCCCAAGATAAAGGATGACGCCGCCTCGTGGGCGCGGTGGAACGCGGCGCCTCGCAAGGAGGAGCCCAAGTCCTCGTCCAGGCCGAAGACCGAAAGGACGACGTCGAAGCGGTCAGCGGATAAGTCCTCTTCGAAGGACTCGGGCTCCGACAAGGCGGAGCGTGCAGACAAGGCTGAGAAAACGCCGGGCAAGGTCCGAATGTCTAGCATGTTCACAAGCACGCCGCCCATCTCCCGCTCCATGTCGACGCGGGATAAACGGGCGAGCATAAGCGGAAAGTCGTCGTCGCGTCGCCACTCTGTCGACATGCACGGCCTGGCATCACCGCCACCCGAAGAGCTGCCTGAGATGTCGTCCAAGGCAGCCAAGATTCTGGGAGTCGACAAGTCCAGCAGCAAGAAGAAAGCTCGCAGGGTAGTCTCTCCAGATGAGGATGATATCGTCATGGTCGGCGCGCTGGACCCAGAAACCCCGGCTCCCAAGCGAGACAAGCGGCGTTCAAGGAGGCCCCAGGACGACGACCTCGTCATGGTGGACGCAGGTGGGCCCTCCGAGACACCCCTGAAGCGGGGACTGTCGGCCTCCAAGAAGTCCGGATTTGCGGGTCTCTTCAGCGGACTCATGACACCCAAGTCGGCCCGGGACGCCAACCCCGACAACGATGCGGTGGCCGTCGACACTGACCGGGACATCCGCTCGTCGGATCGCAAGGCCAAGAGAAGCGATCGTGATCCGGTCGACCGGGACGAAGCACGGCGTGAACGGCGGCGGAAACGCGAGGACGAAGACGAGGCGCGCAGGCTAGAGGCCAAAGAAGCCCGCCGAGCCGAGAAGCGTGCCGCCCGTCAACGAGAGGACGAGGAGCGCCGCATCGATGAGGAGAAAGAGGCCCGACGCGCGGAGCGCCGTCGTCTTCGCAAGGAGAAAGAAGCCGCAGCGGTGGCTGCCGAAAGAGACGAAGCGGAGCGGAGAGCTGCCAAGCAAGAGCGGCGGCGGTCTCAGATGGTGGAGGGGTCTGAGGACGAGGCGGAACGTCGTCGCAGACGAGAGGCGCGTCGGGCCGCCAAGGCCGAGGAGGGCGGTGATGTTCATAGACGACGCAGCAGTCGCAACCCGTACATGTCGGCTGACGACACGGCGGAGCCTCGCAAGAGGAGCAAGCGCGACAAAATGGAGGCGTCGGCCTGGCCCCATTCAGGGACGTCTTCGTGGGTGAAGGAGCACTCGGATGCGCCGCCACCACCCAATGACGACGAGCAGGCACGGCGGGAAGCTCGTCGGGCCAAGCGGCGAGCCAAGACGGGCGATGCGGCAGCGGACGAGATGGAGGAGCAGCGGAGGCGCCGCAGGCGGGAGGAGCGCGAGCGAGAGAGGCGTGTGGGTGGTGGGTCGGAAGGGAGCGACGAGCGACACCACAGTCGCCGAGGATCTGCCTTTATGGACGCGACACCACGAAGCAGCTGGTGGAAGAAGATTACGGGATAAAGGACGTGAGCGCGTGCGTTTCGAGCGGACCAAGGTAATATTTGCGCGGCTGGCCGGCCTATGGTTGCAACGGACCGGCCTCGGGCAGTGATCAGGCTGCCTCGTGGTCGTCGACAAAGAAAGAGGGTGTCGACCCGGGTCTGGCATCCAGGAGGCGGCACCCCGGGCGTATTTTGTTGTTGGATTCGGCATGGGAGCATATACTCTGACATGATACCCCCTTCCTCCTTGGTGGCAAGAGCTTGGCCGGATGGGATTCGCGGGCGCCCGGGCATCCTTGCTGCATGTCTCTTTCATGATTTGATGTTTGATGCCAATCAGCAAGCGTTTCATGACCAAGCCTTTGCCGCGGTTGCTTTGTTTTTGGGGCAGAGTCTGGCCCGGGAAATCAACAGCACGGAGTCTATCTACTACTTATTACCTTACCTAGATTAGGTACCTTGCGCATCAATGTACTGTACTGTACCGTACCGTATGTATTGGGCGTGCAAAGCGCTGCCATTCCTACCTTACCTACTAGGTAGTACCAATTTGAAGTTACTTTGAATTGCTTCGTACAAAGTGCGTCGGAGAACCAGAGGGAGCAACGGCGGTGGGCCGTTTTCGGGAGCAGCCGGTGGGAGGGCAATGTGGGCATCAGCCCCCCCCCATCGTGCGTTCAGGAATCAGGATTGAGGCAAGGCGTGTACCATTCAAAGGTTTGCGGCAAGCAATCCATACATATTACATGCCTAACCATGCCGCGCATAGACAAGGTACCCACGCATCCAAGGGCATGCACCTGCTGTACCCAGGGACCTGGACCTTGTGTATGCATGCAATGCCAAAGCTTGCGGGCGTGGCGCTCGTGAGGCCCCGTCGGAGCACGTTCCGCCCCCAGCTGTGAGCTACCTGCATACTATTAACAGCCGTTGACTTCCAGGTTCCCGTCCCCCGTACCTGTAAATGTATGTACTAGCGAGTCGTCGGCTGAGACACGGGGACCAGAGAGTGCCCATGGCATTCAGCCATACGTACCAAGTACGACCTAGCATAGCAAACGTACATGGAATAACTATGCACGTCCGCACCTGGCACTCTAGCACCAACGTCGAGTAGGGGTCTTCGTATCGCATAAATCAAGCCAATGCCAAGAAAAAGAAAGCGGCAAAAACGAGGGATTGCATGACCGATCTGACAAGAGCAGACCAGCTCGGGGTGCGGCGCACACGCGTTGCCGAATTATTAGATAATAATTCGTCCACCCTGCCTTCCTCCACTACGAGTGCTGCTAGCGGCGGCGCGGCAGCTCCACGGCCTGTCAATCAGGTCACCCTCCACTAAGATCCAACAATTCTTAGCTGTCCCCGTCAGAAGGGAATAGCCTGACTGCCTGGCCTGCATGTAATACGAACCACACCTCGCCAAACCTCGCCAACACACTGCGTTGCGCGGCGGCCCTGTCGAGGGCGAGTGACGACCATCTCACCACCCCATACATCGCCCTCTCATCGCCGCCCATTGCTTGCTGCTTTCGCGGCAGGCCTGCGTCCTTCAGCCTCAGTCTGAAGTGACTGACCCGTCACCCCCAACGCCCGCAGCAACCGCGCGCTGCGAGCCCACGACAGAGCGAGCGAGCAATGGCTGCCCCGGGGAAGCAGTCGAGATGGGGCTCGTTCCTGTCCCAGGCCGTTGCCGGCGTCGAGTCGCGCCTCGACAACATCCTCGCCGAGGCCGACGACTCTTCGCAGCAGAAGCCCTCGCCCGCCGCTGCCCCGGCGAGCAGTCCCAAGCCCGCGCAGCTCGCCGCGCCCGCCAAGCCGACTCCTGGTGAGCATTGCCCGCCCTCCGTCCGCCTAGCAATGACTTGAGGCTTACGCTGCCCCCTTCGCGGCGCATAACAACAGGCAGTTCGAGATCATCCTCCACGAACCGTACCAATGACCGGTTACAGGCCAGACTGGCCAAGGCTATGGCCGGCAAGAACCCCCCCGGCGGCACGGACAGCAAAGGCACGCCGTCCCCGCGCAGTTCCGTCGACGCATCGAGCCGCCCGTCCATGGAGCGGCCATCAACGGACAAGGAACAGCAGGGTCAGACCGACACACCACGACCCGAGAGCCCCGCGGCCGGCGCCCCGTCGACAGACGCGCCACCAGAGATAATCGAGCCTCAAGATCAGCCGAGCGACGTCGATGCCCAAGACAAGCAGCCGTCAGACCAAGAGAGCCCCGCCGACAATGCTATCGCAACGAGCAATTCGACCTCCAACGGCGACACCAACAACGCGGCTCGGCAGCAAAACAGCCAGGAGCCGATAACAAAGGCCGTCCTCTCAGATCTGGCCAAGGACATGGAGGAGATTAAGCAACGGCAGCAGGAGGAGATCCAAGGATACGTCGAGCGCGTGGACTCTCTGCAGGCGAAGCTACAGTATCTATCCAAGACCGCTGCAGACACGGCCAAGAAAACCGCAGGCTCGGCGCCCTCGGGTAGCATGGAGCGCAAGCTAGCAGAAAAGGACGAGAAAATCGCCCTGCTAATGGAGGAAGGTGGAAAACTCTCGAGCGCGGAGCAAAAGTTCCGCATGACCATCAGAAAGCTGCGTCAGCAGATGGCGGAGCACGAGAAGCAGACGGAAGACCTCAAGAAGGCCCGTGACAAGGCCATGGGCGATGCAGAGTCGCTGCGCAAACGCCTGGACAGCGCAGAGGGCAGCGAGAAGCGTCAAGAGGAGACAAAGCGCGCCACCGCCGCTTTGCAAAAGGAGATCGATGCGTTGAAGAAGGAGCGCACCAAAAGGGACGAGGCGTATCGGAAGTTAGAACAGGATACCAAGACAAAAGCAGAGCAGTCCGAAGCTGTGAGCACGGAAGCCCTCAACAAGGCGTTGGCCGCCGAGCGTGCGAAACAAAAGGAGCTGGAGGACGCAAACGCCGCGCTTCGGGCAGAGAAGGAGGCTCTTAGCGACAAGGCACGCTTAGAAGGCATAGAGTGGAGCGAGAAGCTGGAGCGCGCGGCGCAAAGGAGCGGCAAGGTGGAAGAGGAACTCAAGGCCGAGCTGCATTCCATGGAGAGCAAGCTCGAGGCCATGCGTACCGCTGCAGAGGAAGCGTCGTCCGGGTCCGGAGGCGAAGCCCAGGTCAAGATGTTCCGCCAGATCGAGACCCTGCAGTCTCAATACGCGACTGCCCGCGAAAACTGGCAAGGTATTGAGTCCTCGCTGCTTGCAAAGGCGGCCACACTTGAGAAAGAAAGGGATGAGGCGCAGAGACGCGAGTCGGAGATGCGCAAGAAAGCTCGCGATGCGGTAAGGGCGGCAAATGCACAGCACGCACGGACACCATACTGACAACGAACACAGGCGAGCCGAAACAGGAGCCTGGAGGATGAACTGGCAGATCTCCAGCCGGCACTTACCACGGCGAGGCATGAACTCGAGTCTTTCCGCGACCAGGTGGCGGAACTCAAGGCGCTGTCCAAGAAGACGCAGGAGGCACTTGAGCAGGCCAGAGCCGACCTCGAGAAGGCTAGGCAACGGCAGATCAGCCAGGATGACGGGGCCGACGCAGAGCGCCGACAGTGGCTCGACGACGTTGCCGGTGCCACGCACAGGGGCCAGCAGAGCCGACCTGACTCGCCTTTGCTATCGGTCTCGCGGACGTTCAGCTCAGAGCTCCTGGGCGGGCTGCCCTTGCCCGGGAAGCCTCGGAGGACACCGACCTCAGGAAGCAACCCAGACAGCCCTGCCGAGGCCATGTCGCCGATGCGCCGCCTATCCGGCCAGCCCCCCTTGCGGCCAGCCGTGCCCTCAACGGTCGGGTCCGGCCCGCCGCCGGCACCGTTCTCTCCCTTCGAACCACCTACCGACGCGCCGCAAGTCCCATCGCCGCCGACCGCGGAGCGCGAGAACGGCGCAGACGAGGTGGCCTCGTCGTCGCCGCGCAACATTGCCCAGGACATGATCTCGGTCTCGACAGTGGCCGCGGGCCCGTCCGTCCAGCTCGTCGAGAGGATGAGCGCGGCCATCCGGCGCCTCGAGGCGGAAAAGGTGGCGGCCAAGGAGGAGATGGCAAGAATCTGCAACCAGCGAGACGAGGCCCGCGGCGACATGGTGGGCCTCATGAAGGAGCTGGAGGAGGCCAAGGACGCGGCGAAGAAGGTGCCGCATCTGGAGGAGCAGGTTACGCAGCTCGACTCGCGGTATCAGACCACACTGGAGATGCTGGGGGAGAAGAGCGAGCTCGTCGAGGAGCTCCGTGCCGACGTGCAGGACGTCAAGGCCATGTATCGCGAGCTCGTCGAGCGGACGGTGCAAAAGTAGATCAACGCCACAAGGCGAATGGATGCGGACGCGGGAGGGCGGCAGAAGGACGGCGACGCATGCACCAACGACGATAATGCATAGACGGCTGCGGGCATTGCCCATTGTACGGCGTCTATCTACCTTAGTTACGACGGAGAAGACAGGTCGATGCCCTCGCGCTCGGCCCCACGCATTATGTACAGGCGCACCTGTTTTAAAAGAAGCCGTCGGTTAGTTGGCGATTACACTGAGCGCCTGGTGTGTTCTTTTTCACGTGTGCTGCTGCGTACGTACCTCCTTGTCCGGTGCCAGATCCAGCGCGAGCTCGTCGGCGCTGTTTCTGATGGTGAAGTCTGCTCCCTCCTTGAGCAGCGCTACGGCGACATCCCCTGAATTTGACAGTCAGTCAGTCAGCCTCATCATACAGTCGGCTACGTATTCTTGCACACCACACCAAGCTCTATCCATGACCGCGGGAAGCAGTAGGAGCTGTCTCTTATACACATCTAGATGTGTATAAGAGACAGGTGCAGGGGCGTGAAGCCCTCGCCGTCGGTGGGGTTGAGGGGGCTGCGGTTCCGGAGCCTGTCTCTTATACACATCTAGATGTGTATAAGAGACAGGTTGAGGGGGCTGCGGTTCCGGAGCAGCAGCGTCGTCATGGGCACGGAGCCGACGGCGGCGGCGCGGTGGATGGGGTACTGGCCGCGGCGGTCGCGGACGCGCGTCGAGGCCGGAGGCTTGGCCGCGAGGAGGAGGCGCGCGACGTCCATGTTCTTCTTTGAGGCGACGAAGTGGAGGGCGGTCTGGCGGAGGGTAGCCGTGCCGGGCGAGTGTGAGCGTGGTGGTTCGTTTTAGCTGCCATGAGAGAGAGAAGGAGGGGGCAAGCACGCGAAGGGAGGGTTCATGAAGGAAATGGAGGTTGTGTGCTGACCTGTCCGCTGCCATCTATACGGTACCCGCGTTAGCATCCGCGTGTTCAAGTGATGCGAGACCTGGAGTACGGATGGGGGATGACCCATGACGGAGACTCACTCTTCTCGTTCACGTCTGCGCCCCGTTGCAGCAGCAGCGTGAGGATGGGCTCACTATCCGCCACGCTCGCGGCAATCATGAGAGCCGTCCATCCGCTGCCGTCCTGTCCAGCCGTCCAACACGTGCCTGTCAGCGCCTCTGCCTCTGTCTTCTCATCTTGCCGCCGCTGTAGAGAGCTCTTCTCCAGAGGTGGCGACGCGGGTGGCAATACGCACCTGGACATCGGGATCAAACCCGGGCAGTTCGGCGAGCATGAGCATAATCTGGAAGCTGTTGGACGACGCGGCCCAGTGGACGGCGTACCGCCCATCGTCATCTTGCTTCTTGGCGAGCTTGGGGTCGTTCTGGGCGACGACGGGTAGCTGGTCAGCTTGAGTCTAAGGTATACACCTCGTGCCAAGGGCGTGGGTGCCATGCCTTGAGCAGCGCTTCGGCCCTCGACACTGCGACCGCGTCAGAAAGATGACTCTGTTTCGAGGACTGAGCCTTGACGGTTGCGTACCCTGTCCTAGACGAGCTGCCGTGTGCAGTGGGAAGCGGTCGGGTTCCTCGTCCATGATGACTGCGAAGGCGCAAGGGGTCGAGGCTAGATTGATCAGAGCGGACTAGATCACAAGCTGACCACGCGGCAAGTGCGCGAAAAGGAGAAGTGAGTGAAGATGAGATGAGTGAAGTGGTGTTTTGGGTGAATATCTTGTCTTGTAGGGTAGGCCGGGAGCTACGGCCAGGTTGGACCTGGGCTGGAGCTCTGTAGCTGTCCCGCTTCGCTACAACCTTGGAAGCCTCCTGTGGCGCCCGACTGAGTTCCAGGTTACTCGGTGCACTACCATTCCCCCCCACATCCACCTAGCGCCACCACACGCGCGCGGCTGCGCTCCAGCCTTGACATCTCTCAATCCGGGGCAGCCAATTCGACTTTTCCCATCCATCCAGGCATCCCAAACGTCGCCTCACCACGACGACGCCGCATCCGCCCCAGCACCGCGCCATGGAGACGCCGCACGCACCGCAGGACGCGCTGCAGCTCGGCGCGCTCGCGTCCCAGAATGCGACCGCCTCTCGACTCTTCTACGGCCACGCCGCCCGCGCCGCCGCCGCAGAGGAGCAGCAACAGCCGAGCAGCAAGCGTCTGAAGACGGCCGAGGACGCGTTCGAGGACCCCGTCATGAGGCGCCGTCGCCTCGCCGAGTACGCCGACGTGCAGACCCTGCCTGCGTCCCTCGCCGCGCGCCAGCCCGCCAAGAAGCCCGGGAGCAGCAAGGCCGTGGTCCGGACGACAAAGCCTGGCAGCAGCGGGCCCGTCGCGGCGGCGGCGAGGCCGCAGAAGCTGCTCGAGGGACCGTCGTCCTCCCCGTCGACATCGGCGCCCGATGCGGCCGCTGCTGCCAACGGCAGCAACAACGCAAACAACAACATGAGCCTGGCGACGCGGGGCTCGGCGCAGCAGCAGTACCAGCACGTCAAGCCCGAGTGGCACCCGCCGTGGAAGCTCATGCGCGTCATCTCAGGCCACCTCGGCTGGGTGCGCGCCCTGGCCGTCGAGCCCGGCAACAAGTGGTTCGCCAGCGGCGCCGGCGACCGGACCATCAAGATCTGGGACCTGGCGTCCGGGTCGCTGCGCCTGACGCTCACCGGCCACATCAGCACCGTCCGCGGCCTCGCCGTCTCCCCGCGCCACCCCTACCTCTTCTCGTGCGGCGAGGACAAGATGGTCAAGTGCTGGGACCTCGAGACCAACAAGGTCATCCGCCACTACCACGGCCACCTCAGCGGCGTCTATACCCTCGCCCTGCACCCGACCCTCGACGTCCTCGTCACGGGCGGCCGCGACGGCGTCGCCCGCGTCTGGGACATGCGCACCCGCAGCAACATTCACGTCCTCAGCGGCCACACCCAGACCGTCGCCGACGTCAAGTGCCAGGAGGCTGACCCTCAGGTCATCACGGGCTCCCTCGACAGCACCGTCCGCCTGTGGGACCTGGCCGCCGGCAAGACCATGGGCGTCCTCACCCACCACAAGAAGGGCGTCCGCGCCCTCGCCGTCCACCCCACCGAGTTCACGTTTGCCAGCGGCAGCACTGGCAGCATTAAGCAGTGGAAGTGCCCCGAGGGCGCCTTCATGCAGAACTTTGAGGGCCAAAACGCCATCATCAACACTCTGAGCGTGAACCAGAACAACGTCTTTTTCTCAGGAGGTGAGCACTCGTCCATCCCCTCACTCACCCAACTGCCGTATTGCGTTTGAGGACTAACAGCGCTTGGCACTAGGCGACAACGGCTCCATGAGCTTCTGGGACTGGAAGTCCGGCCACCGCTTCCAGGCACTCGACACGACTGCCCAGCCCGGCTCCCTGGACGCCGAAGCCGGCATCATGAGCTCCACCTTTGACCGGTCAGGGCTGCGTCTAATTTGCGGCGAGGCCGACAAGACCAGTAAGTGTGCCCGTCGGTGTCCTTGCATAACTCTTTTCAGTCACTAACACCACCTAGTCAAAATCTGGAAGCCGGACGAAAAGGCATCGCAAGAGACGCATCCGCTCCAGTGGACGCCGACACTGGCGCGGCGCAAGTACTGAGGGATGAATGCGTCCTTTTTCACACATTGGCGTCGGTTAGACTGGCGCCCAAAGACTATGTATTGCGGCTTGATACCCTAAACTACTGCTTGGATTATCACACCATTATCCCCATGGCCTTGAGTTCGCCGTCGTCGCGCAGCGCCATCTTGACCTCGTCGTCGGCAATCGCCAGGCGCAGCTTACTCGAGCGCTCTGCACGGTGAGCCTCCAGGTTGATCAGGCCCGCCGCCACCAGGTCTAGCGCCGCCGTGTGCACATAGCTGGGCCTTGTGACGACGCGGTGGCCGCTCGCCGGGGTGCCCTTGAGGCCGCTACTCAAGATGAGAGCCATGCCCGGGTTTGTTGGTGAGGAGTGGACAGTGGCCCTCTGGAGCTCGTCTAGGGTCTCGCCGAAAGTCGTCTCCACGAGGCCCGTCCTCCGGATCCTCATCAGCAGCGCTGCCATCAATAGCTTAGAGGTCAGCGGCAGGCCGCGGAGGTGCTGCTGGACGGGATTGGAGGTGGCCTCATTGATGGCTTTTTTTATGGTGGCAATGGTGACACGGCCGCGGCGAGACGCGTCGTGCCCCCCGGACTTGCTCGGCGTCGTGGGGTCGCCTTGCACGTCGCCTTCTGCGAGCTCGACCGCGCGTCGGCAGATGTCGAGGGCTCTCCGGGCGTCTCCGCTCACGGCAGCGACCTTGCGACTCGCAAACTGAATGGCATCCGGGTCGACAATGTTGCCGGGGACACCTTCCAGCCGCGATTGTATAATTCTCATGAGCTGATCATGTGTGTAACCTGGGAAGGTAATGCGGGTGAGACCTAGACGGCCGATTAGCTCCAACACATTGTATAGAGCCAGGGACATGGCGATTGGGAATGGATGGATAAACCACGAATAAAAACTTACCTAGCCGACTGCTGATCTTGTTGCTCAATGTCCGCTCGGGGAGATCCATGGTGTTGGCGACGGCGAGCACAATCAGGCGACTGTGCCGCAGCGTGGGCCAGTTGAAAAAGTTGTACATGACTGCCTGGTTCTTGGTAACCAGCTGATCGAGTTCGTCCATGAGGACGACACAGGGAGTGCGTCGCGGGCTTGGGTTGTTAAACTCCCGCTCCAGCCCGTCCAAGGCCTGCGAGGGACTAGCACGCTGGCCCTTGAGCGCTTCCCACAGCAGGGTATACGACTGGTGGGGGTCTGTGATTTTCATGCCGTTGATCTCGACAAAGATAAAGTCGTCGAGCTCGTCGGCACCCACGGCGTCCTCAAGCCGCGCGATGACTTCGCGAACAGTGGCCGTCTTGCCCGTGCCCGGCGTCCCGGATATGTAGATGCAGTTGCCGGTGCCGTCCGTGATGGAGGCTTCCAGGTGTGAGTAGACGAGCGAGAACTCGCCTTCGCGACAGGGGAGACTGGTTGGCACGGATGAGACGTGGAGGCGAGAGCGGGCGACCTGGAAGGGTGATGACTGGACTTCGCTAGGAGACAGCTTCCGCATTGCCAGCGGGGTGAATTCGAGTTTCTTCCCGGTGCCCCTAGGTGAACGTCAGCTCCGGTCGGTACATCTCTACTCATGTTTCGCCCTCTTACCGTTTTTGCGAGCCAGGACCTCGCTTTGACTGTGGCGTCGTCGCCGCTCTCGCGGCCGACTTGGTCGGTGTCTGCGGCGGCACATACGCAGTCTCCTCGGGCGATTGACTGCGCGCCTTCCTCTTGCCGCGAACCGCCTTGGTGCCCTTTTCTACGCGCTCAATCAGGGCGAATATATCGTCACCGCCCGTGTATACCTCCTCCCAGACGAACTCGTCCGTGTAGGTTGCGGTCCGGGTGTTGCAGCCCCGGCGACAGATGAAGGTCTTACCAAACTCGGGGTAGTGCCGCGGGATCTTGCCCGAGGGGAACTTGTCGAGGAACCTTTCGAGGGATGTTACTGTTGCCTTGCCATTGATGGAAGCGAGGGGATTTACGTCCCACGAGGGCGAGAGGTACAGCTCGTTCTGCAACATGCGTTAGCATTCTCATGAAATGCGAGACGTGGAGGCTTTGAGAAGAAGTGTGCTCACCCATTGAAAGTCATTGCGCTTCTTGTTCCTGTTGCGAATCTCCTTCTCGGTCGAGAACCACATAAAGTTGGCCGCCTTTTCGCCCTCGCCATCGTCCTCGATGAACTCGCAGACGATGGCGACCCAGGCCTCATTGGACCCGTCCGCTTTGAGGAGCACCGTGTCGCCAACCAGGCACTCAAAGGTGCCCATGCGGGCGCCGACAATCTTGTTCCCCGAGACCTTTCTTCTCTTGCGCTCGCTTTGCGCATCGTCGCCTTCGCGCCCCGGTGCCTCAACGTTGTAGATCCATTCCCAGGGCAGGTCGTCGATGCCGAGCTCGTCGTCGGAGTCGTCGCGTGCGACGCCAGGAGGGGGCCGTCTGGTTCGTCGCTGAGGCTCGGCAGCTCGCTCTGTGAGGCTTTGGGGGGTCATTGTGACGTCCTTGGCTGTGGTGTGAGGTCGTCCAATGCTGCAGAAGCACTTTACGCGTCGAGGGAGACGCGTTGGATTGAGGCGTGGTGAGCGCGGGCTGATTGGCGCTGAGCAATGACTAAGCCAAATTTACCTGGTGGACTGCCCATGCGCACGCTGATGAGGTGAACTGCACTGCACTGCAACTGCCACCAACTACCTCGACTTAGTACCTTCCTGTCGGCGCGTGTGAAGAGCGAACGATGCTCTCCATTGGAAGTACCAACGAAGTGGATGCTCTGCAATCCGAAACCCATGAGAACGCCAGACAGGCAGCATGAGGCATGGATCACACACGAATCCCGCTGTGTCGGCGCTGGCCCCCCGGCTTGAATGCCGCTCCGTAGGGGAATCGAGCGACATACGCGTTGGTCGAGCAGCAGCTGGCCTTTCCATTCATCTGATGTTGACAGCGTGCTGTGAATGGGCGGCTGCGTAGGCATGTAGAGTTGGCTGCCGAAGCGCATCCAAAGGCAGAGTGAATCAGCGCGGTGTGAGTCTGCCGGTTGGTTTGTCTCCTCAACCTCGATCGGCTTCTCAGCGCCACGCGAGATCGAGTTCAACACCCGAGCCCCGAGGTGGTCTTCCTAGGCCTCCCCATACAGGCAGCATAGTCAATCTAAGCTATTACAGTTTGCAAACACGGAAAACTGCACACAATAGGCGGTCGCGTTCGTCACCTGGCCTGGGGTGGACCCGCGCGTACAGGCAATACCGGCAAGCTTCCTCTTGCAAACGACGGCAGGTGGCCGCCTTCCTTTCGCCTCTTACCTGGCCACAGCTCCGATTCTTCCCCATTCCCGCAACATTTTCCTCTCTGACATCCTCTTGTTCGCCCGACATCACATTCACGTCCAAGAAAGTACGCCACTCTTCGTCCTACACATTACCCCGAAAGCCCGAAAACTGAACAGATACACAACCGGACGAGTATCGCCAGACCAAGCGTTCCAGCAGCACCATGAGAAGACGCCAAAATGCCTCGTCGGGGCCCTCGAAAAACCAGGGTCGTCGCAGTCGTCAAACGTCCTCGCGGACGACATCTCTGTCGGTTGAGACAAACACGGGCGGCTTTGCGAAATCCGACAGAATGAAGACTGCCAAAGCAGAAGTGGATAGTCAACGACAGGCCAGCGTGGCTCTTGCGAACCAGGAGTATCTTGGCCATGCGCCCGAAGACCCCTCCATAATTCATGTGAGTAGGCCCGGCCGGCAACTGATCTGATAACAAGCCCTCTCGACTGGCTGACACGGGCCAACATAGGCAAGTCTGGTCATCCCGGGAAACGACATGCTGCCACAGGGCCTAGAAGACCCGGATGCGCTCAACGACATCCGCCTCAGGTACAAAGTGTGGATTACCCGCTCACAGCCCAACATATTCGACATTCGCGGTCGTGATATGCGTCAGCTGCAAGAGGCCGTGAAAGAATTGAACTGGGCCCTCCACGACATGAGGCTGTCCAGTGAGGCTCTGACGATACGCTTCTTGGCACAGAAGCCTAGCAGGGACCAAGACAGCGCCATTGTCAACGTCGAATTGAATTGTCGTCCGATAGTGAAGGCTCTCAGCAATACACCTCGCTCCGTCCTAACAACCGCGCTGGACCTTGTCGACCGGCTGCGCACCAGCCTCTTGCCGTCGGCAGACATCCTCAGACTTTTGACAACGGACCTCCGAATGCGAGTCAACTTTGGACACCTACAAGTGCGGACCAGAAAGAAGGGGCTTGGCAGAGACATGTCGTATGCCAACTTTGCCGAGATGATTCCGCAATACTCGAACCGCGGCGGCGCCAGCCTACACACTCGCATGCCGGCTGTTGCGCACGCAGCAAAGGTTTTGCATAAGATACTCGACCCGATTGTCGGACTGCATTACCCAAAAGAACACGCAGTCTCCGGGCGCTGCACTGTTGCGCTTGGACTTGGCGATCACGAGCTGGTGGCAGACGCCAAGCTGCCGACCAAAGACAAGGAACAGCTTTCGATTCCTACCCTCGCCAAGCCTGAGGCCTGGCCGCGTCTCAACTGGACAGTGGCAGCGCCTGACATGTAAGTTCTCCTCGAACATTTGCCGTGACTCGGAACCTAACGCGGCCTAGGCCCCTAGACTGGAACTTCCAGGTCGATTCGCTAGGGTACCAGGCCGTCGTTCCAGACGATCTCCTGAAGCTGATGCAGAGCATCGTACTGATACCTAATAAGGCTGATAAGGGCGACGGACACTCCCTTTGTCCACCACGGCTCTTGAATGGCCAGTCGGCAGGTGGTCAGATCGACAGGACCACCCTCAAAACCTCCATCATAGTGCCTTTCAGGAACACTCCATTCGTCATCGAGGTCAGCATAACGCAGCAGTGGCAAGGAATGAAGACGGTCTCCGAAGCGGACACATGGTGGGGGCTCGAGTTCTACTGCCGAGGATGGGATGAGGCCATCAACAATGTCAGCCCAGGTGAAAGGCGGAAGGATTGGGGCCCGAAGCTGGAGAGAATCTGGCCGGGAATTGACCAGAGTCTGGAGGAGCGCTTCACGGCGTTTCTCGAGTACATTGTGGAGATTCAGGCGGCATTGGACGATGTCGACTTCAAGTCACGCGCGGGTTTCCGCGCCCAAAATGCGTCAAAATAATGAAGCTCACGCGAGCTGTACTTGGCCGAGGAGATGCCGGCTATGAATTTGACTTTTATTATCGCTGCGTATGTCGTGCTCTATCGATTTTTTCAGCCATGGCCCAGCCATCTAAGCCTGCGATCCCTGAGCAGCCATGAGCTTTTGTCGTAATACTGTGTCGAGTTAGTTACGGAAGCGGTCAGAGCAGACACACGGCAGGAGTAGCTCCCTACCTTCCTCCACGGCCCTCACGTTGGCCTGCTTCTGTGATACAATCGCCTCGAGCTCCTTGAGATTGTTTCCGAGCTCCTGCACCTTGCTGTCGTAGAACTGCTCGGCCGATTTCAATTTCTGGAAGCGGCGTCAGCCCATGTGTCTAGCTGATCGGAGCCTCAGCATTCAAGGGGCCAGTGTACCTTTTCGACGAGAAAGCCCGTGCCGACGTCTACCAGCACGCTCTCAGTATCTGTGAGCTCGCCGCGGACGTAGAGGGAGTTGGTCAGGGGAACGAGGACCGAGTTTTGCGCTGCATGTGCGGGTTTCCGTTAGCCGAGAGAGTTCCCCTATGTAGCTTCAAGAGGGGCATGTCTGCCGCCGAGCGACGATGCGCTGGAGCTTCGTAGTATGTGGCAGCGCGGGGCAGCGCAAGTTTGTTGGGAAGTAGAGAAGGAATGAAGAGGCAGCGGCGGGCGAGCGGGTGTCGAATAGAGCGAACGAGGACGACAGGGATGAGGACGAGGGCGAGGGCGAGGAACGCACCAGCGGTGGCGGCGGAGCGGCTGTTGACGCAGCGCAGGCAGTCCCTGAACTTGTTCTGCGCGCCGTGGAGCTGCGCAAAGGACGAGGTGAGGTGCTCGAGCTCCTCGTCGAGCTGCTTCTTGACCTGCGCGAGCTGCTGCGGCTCGAGGGTGTCGAGGTTGACTGTTGCGGGCGCGAATTCGTTAGCTAGCTAGCTCGCTGGCGGCGGCGCGCGCGCGGGGCCACGGAGGATGAGTAGCGCCGAGGGGGCTGGGAGCGAAACGTACTCGTCTCGCGGGCACCGGCCATGGTGGGCAATGTCGGCGGGATTGGGGGGAGCGGTCGCGACAGGAGAGGAGGAGAGGGAGTGAAGCCGTGATGGATTGGTTGCCCCACGGCGGGAGACAGTAAATTGGCGGTGGTGGTGGTGGGGTGGGAAATTCTGGCAGACGTCACATCCCAGGCGCCAACCAAACCTCCCGTCTCAGACAACACGGGACAAACAAAGCAGAGCAGGCCTGAACAGGACATGAATTATGCACGGCAGAGTTGGTTCTAGTATTAAATATGCTAATACTACATCATGTAATATACAGTTGGGATCGCTGCAAATGCAGCCTCAAATAATACATCAACCCACCCTCTATCGAGGATCTGTGACAGGCATGTCTACCATTAATTACAGCTTATCCAGCAATTCCGCGAGATATCCCGGCACGTCTTCAGCAGCCACGTTCTCCTTGACGCCCAGGCTCCGGCACTGCACCTCGCAGACGCCCCGTTCCCTCCAAGGCTTGCCCAGGACAACCGTGACAGGGTACCCTATCAGATCGGCGTCCTGCATCTTCCAGCCAAACGTCTCCTTGCGGTCGTCGAGGATCACGTCGAAGCCAGGCGCCAGCAAGTCGTAAAAGGCCAGCGTCTCGTCCGTCATGCCGGACGTCGGGATGACGACGACCTCGAAGGGCGCGATGGCGCGCGGCCAGTTGAGGCCTCGCTCGTCGGCCTTGTGCTCCGCCACAGCGCCGAATATGCGAGAGACGCCAATGCCGTAGCAGCCCATCTGAACAGGGGCGGGCCCTCCCTTAGTATTGGGGAGCGCCACATGCAGCTCTAGAGGCTCTGAGTACCGTGTGCCCAGATAAAAGGTGTGGCCGAGTTCCAGAGCACGGTGGACCTGGAGCGTTCCGGTCTTGCAGTTGGAGCACCCGTCCCCGTCTGCGAGGCGTAGGAGGTTGAGAGTCTCTCCTGACGGTGATCGTAGGATAGACGAGTGATCGAGCGACCGGTTGCTCAGCTCGGTTGGAACGCATGGCAGTTCTGGTTGTAGGTTTGAAAAGCTGTGCGCGAGTCTCGCATCGACGACGTTCAGCACACGAAGCTGCGTGGCGGCCGGCCCGCTGTCAGCCTCAGTCCCATCACCGAGTAACCGCACAGCGTCACTAATGCTCGCATCCAGCTCCGGAACGGCCTCTTTGACTGCATGGATATTGATGTCGGCCTCGGCGGACCCGCTTCCCAGCGCTGGATACCAAGCATTGACTATCGTTCGGCGGTCTTTAGTGATGCCACGCCACACCCGAAAGTCTGCGACGGCGACTGGTGCGCCTAGTTTATCTGTCGAGGGCGGTAGCGCCTTCGCAACCTCGTCGTTGGCAACGTAGCCACAGCTGTTGCACGTGGCGACAGTGTCCTCTCCTATGGAATTGGCCAAGTGGTACTCGTGGCTGTAGTCGCCGCCCATGTCTCCTGAACTTGCTTCCGCAATGAAGACTGGAAGCTTCAAGTCGGCAAAGAAGGCACGGTACGCGCCGGACACTTCTCGGTACGTCTCAATGGCCGATTCAACAGACGTGTCGAAAGTGTACAGGTCCTTCATGACGAATTCGCGAGAGCGCAGCAGCCCGTGGCGAGGGCGCATCTCGTCGCGATACTTGCGGGCTAACACAAACTGGTCAGCAAGGTCATGACTGGTAGGCTCGAGAGCCACCCACTCGTCTGGTACAGCCGCAGCGGCAGGTCCTTGTAGGATTTGAGCGTGCTAGCAACTAGAGTGGTGATTTCTTCCTCATGAGTTGGGGAAAGTATGATTGGCGTTTCTTTCCGGTCCTGGAGGCGGAATAGCTTTGAGAGCAAGTCAGTGAGTGTTCACTTGTTGAGAGGGACGCTACAAACCTCAGACGAGGCTTTCTCCAGGCGACCACTTTTCCTCCATAGTTCTTCTGAGGAGATTGTTGAAAGAGAAAGGCGCGAAGCACCTGGGATGATGGTTAGGTCAATGTGGACGAGCCTCCCCGCGGACGGAGCGCGCTCACCTATAGACTGCATGTGCTTGTCCAGCAAGCCCTCAATCTTCTGCTGTACGCGTAGGCCAAGTGGCAGTAACTGAAAGATGCCCGATTGAGACTAAGGAGAATAGTTAGAATTGAGAGAGTCCCCTGAGAGGACAGCAGCCTTGACTGACCTGGCGCAGGAACCCGGCACGGACGAGTTTTCCGTGACCCGCTAGCTCGATCGTCAGCCCCGGATCCCCCGAGCAGAGACTTGAATCTCACATTCGCCTTCGGTGGCAGAGACGCCTCCCGTGGGAACCCATAGTCTGGACAGAGTTGATCTCGGGTGGGCACCGCAGTTGACGGATGATTGTGAGAAAGCCCGAGCGATGATGGCGGGTGGGTAGGCTCTCACGAAGACGCAGGCCCTGAGCCGCGCCGTCCTGGAGGGTATCATAATTGCAGCGTCATTGAGAGAGCCCCGCGCAGTGCTGTCCTTCGACAAGGCCTAATCAAAACGGTACCGTATTCCAAGGTGCTGTGCGTTTGACGACGATGCCAGATGTTGTCGTCGATGCTAGTGTTGGTGTTGCGGTTGCGGTTGGTAGTTGGTACCAGCAGGTATTATGGGGCACCAACAACAGTGAACTGGAACCCGCCAGACCCACACCTGAGCACCTGCAGCGGAGTGGGGACCGATAAGATAGACCCTTTCAATTCTTCGAAAAAAAGTTCAGAGACGACCGATTCGCTGCTGCAAAAGTCGCCCGCCGAGACACCGTCCTCGCACCGCAGCAGCTCTCTCGACATCGCAATGCCCAAGCCATCCAAGAAGGGCAAAGGGCAGCGCCCGCCCAAAGAGGGCCAGCAGAGCTTCAACCAGGACGCGCTCGCGCAGCTCACCTCCCGCATCGACAAGAGCCTCGGCGGCGGCGACCACAAGCGCAAGCAGCCGCCTACCGCCGCCTCGGACAAGCAGCACCCCAAGCGGCAGCGCGCCTCGACGGATGCGCCGCCCCGGGACGCGAAAGGCGCCAGCGATGATCAGGCGGCCCTGCTGGCCGAGATCAAGGCCCTGGGCGGCGACGAGTCGGACCTCGAGCTCATCAACGGAGTCGACTCAGACGATGAGACGTATGCTCAGGACTCCAAGAAGCCTATTGACAAGGCACTGAAGGAGGAGCTGGCCGCCCTATCCAAGGAACTCGGCTTCGCTGCCATAGTGCCCGAGGAGGCGAGCGACGCGGACGACGGGCCCGACGAGGAGGAGGAAGAAGACGAGGAGGATGTTGATGAGGAAGAGGACGACGAGGACGAGGATGACGCCGATGAGGACGTCGCTCCCCGCAAACCAGGCGGCATGGTATGTGCATGCGCACCCCGGAAGGACACCTCTGACGACTAACAAGTAGTAAAATAGACATTTGAGCCCCTCGCGGATTGGCACTCGGCTGGTCTGCGCAGCCTGCCTGGCCCCACGACCGACCAGCTCGGCTCCTTCATGTCCGCCGTCGAATCCCTCAAGCAGTACGCCAAGTCGCTCCTGGAGCAAGATGCCGCCAAGTACCGTGGAAGCGTCTTTGCGTCCTCGTCACACAAGTTCTTGTCGACCATCATGTCTTCTGGTACCCTTACCGACAAGGTCTCGGCTCTGACGCTGGCAATCCAAGAGTCGCCCGTCCACAACATCCGCGCCTTCGATGCCCTCATGAATCTGGCCTCCAAGAAGAGTCGCGCGCAGGCCATCGGCGCCATTGGTGCACTGGTCGATCTTCTCGGGCCGGGCACGCTTCTACCATCTGACCGCCGTCTCAAAACCTTCCAGAGCCAGCCCGGCTTACTTGGCGCCCTTCAGCGGAACTCGATCAAGTCGTGGGATCCAAGCCAGAGGCTACCCGGAAAGGTTACGGAAGCCCATCTGATTGCTTGGGCGTACGAGGACTGGCTCAAGGCGACATACTTCAAAATCATCCAACTTCTGGAGGTCTGGTGCTCGGACGAGATTGAGTACTCGCGCATGAAGGCCGTCGACTTTGTCTATGGCCTCCTCAAGGAGAAGCCAGAGCAAGAGTCGAACCTTTTGACGCTGCTCGTCAACAAGCTGGGCGACAGAGACCGCAAGATTGCTTCTCGGGCCTCGTATCTTCTCCTGCAGCTCCAGGTTTCGCACCCGGGGATGAAGCCCATCATCATTCGTTCCATTGAACAGGACATTCTCCTTCACCCCTCACAAGACACACGATCCAAGTATTATGCCATCAACACCCTTAACCAAACAATTCTCAGCAACAAGGAGCCTGAAGTTGCCGAGTCGCTGGTCCGCATCTATTTTGACATCTTTGTTACGCTTCTAAAAACCGGCAGCCTCGGCATTGGCGCACAGAGCAACCAGGACAACCGGAAAGAGGCTAAGATTCAGGGCGGGAAGCCGAATGGAAAGCCCAAGGGCAAGCCGCCAGTCAAACAGGGCAAGCCGGGGTCCGAGAAGCCTTCGGTGCCTGAGACCGAGGCCGCTGACAAGCTGGTGTCTGCCGTCTTGACTGGCGTCAACCGAGCTGCGCCGTTTGTTGGGGCCAACGATGCGATGTGAGTGTTCCCATACCCGGCATCATTGCCTGGGATAGCCAAGCTAACTGTGAGTAGCATGGAGAACCATCTGAACACGCTATTCACGATTGCGCACTCAGCAAACTTCAACACTGGCATCCAGGCCCTGCTCCTGATTCAGCACCTGTCGTCAGCGAGGAACCTGGCCACAGACCGCTTCTACCGGACCCTCTACGAGTCTCTGCTGGACCCTCGGCTGGTGACCTCGTCCAAGCAATCTCTTTACCTGAACCTGCTGCTCCGCGCATTAAAGAATGACGTCGATGTCCGGCGAGTCAAGGCCTTTGCGAAGAGGATGCTCCAGATCACAGGAATGCACCAGCCGCCGTTTGTGTGTGGCCTGCTATACGTCATCTCACAACTCCGGCAGACATTCCCCGACTTGTCAACGCTGGTGGAGGACCCCGAGACGTCCGTGTTTGACGACGATGACGCCAAGGACCAGCCACTGTACGACGGACGCAAGCGCGACCCGGAGCATAGCAATGCCCACCGAAGTTGCTTGTGGGAAATGGTAAGCTCGCGGACGCCTTCGTTCTGTGGATTAATGGCTAACTTTGGACCCCAGATCCCCGTTCAGACGCACTTCCACCCGTCGGTGAGCGTTTTTGCGGCTGCGTTGCTGGACAAGACGAGGAAGATGCCGAAGCCGGACATGGAGAGCCATTCCCTGATCCGGTTCCTGGACAAGTTTGTGTACAGGAATCCCAAGTCTACAGATTCCGCACGTGGCGCCTCCATCATGCAGCCGCTACGTGCGACCAAGGACCTCGGCGACATCTGGCTGGGGAGCAGGGGTGCCGGTGCCACGTCCGCGCCCGTCAACTCGGCCGCCTTCTGGAACAAGAACGTTCAGGATGTGGCTGCCGAGGACGTCTTCTTCCACGAGTACTTCCAGCACATGGCCAAGGAGCCCAAGGAGAAGGCCAAGAAGGAGACGTCGGGTGAGGGTGACGAGGAGAATGACGAGGACGAGATTTGGGAAGCTCTGGTATCGGCGCAGCCCGATGGTGGCGATGATGGGTCCGACGCCGGGTTCGATGACCTGGACGAGCTCGACATGGCTTCATCGGACGACGACTCGCCAGCTCTGTCCCTGGACAGCGATATGGAGGATGGCGACGAGGACATGCTGGAAGGCTCTGAGGACGAGGAGGGGGACTCCGACGGGCTCGTCGCGGCAGCGGAGGACGAGAGCGAGGATGAGGCAAAGGACGAGGCAAAGGACAAGAAGAAGTCGCGGCGGAAGATGCTCAAGTCGCTGCCGATGTTTGCGTCGGTGGATGATTACGCAGAGATGCTGGCGGGCGAGGAGGACGGGTTGTAGACCACGTAGCCGTGTTACCTTTTGGTGTCGCTCAAGCGGAATATGATTGGACGACGTCTGCCTCCTCTGTTGGACTTGCAAGAGCTGCCGGACTCGGATCGGATATGCCGGTACGAGCGGATGTTTCCCATCCAAAGCTCGGGGGCTTGCACTTACACGACAGGATAGCGGTACAAGGTACATCGTCAGGGACAAGAGTCGTGCACCCCTCATTCGTTGACGGCTCCGAAGCCGTCCAATGCCGCGTCGTCGCGCCAGTACAAAAGTGGAGCCACCCGTCGCCCAAAGGAGATGCCGAACCTCGGATATGCCATTTATTTCCACGACGAGGCAAAGGCGCACAGCCTCGCCCGCGACGACGCCCTCTTTCTTCCTCCCGACTAAATTCCTCGTCTTGATTCACTTTTCCGCATCGCCAGCCCGTCGCCGTATTTCATTCTTTTAGTCGCACTGCGCGTTCTTTTGGCGGCCGGATAGACGAGGCACATACGACCGGGGCGAGTGCGAGCAGACCACCGCATACCACAGAAAGCGCCATCACACACAGCGACCAATGTTCGGCCGACAGTTTGAGCGCGCGGGCCGCCGCCTGGCGCAGCAAGCAAACACAGTGTCGCGGTGCAAACCGGGGCACTGGACGGGTCGTCTCGAGACGGCGCCGCTGCGGCCTCAGCGGCGGGCATACTCGGCGTCCGGAGAGGCGGCGTCAGCAGGTGCGTGAGACGGGGTGAGACGGGGGGCGCGCGTTACGCTCCCGTCGCGCAAGGGGTTTGTGCAGGCTAACAAGTATTGTTTCCACAGGGCAACCAAACGGAGCCGGAAGTCTGTTCCGCAAGGCGGCGACGTACGCGGCCGTCGGCGCGGCGTTCAGCGCCATCGGAGCGGCAGCGGCGTGGAAGGCGCTGACGGCGCACGGGCTCGGGTTCTACTCCGACGAGGAGAGCCTGCTGCGGTTCAACGCGAGCGAGGTGGACGACGAGGCGCGACGAGTCGAAGAGACGATCAACAGCCACCCGCTGGTGGTGGAGCTGCGGTCGCGGCCGGAGCTGACCGAGTCGCGGCCGCACATGAAGATGCCGGCGCAGTACAGCGGGCGCAGCCTCACGGGCGGGGCGCTGGTCGGGCCGGGCAAGGTGCCCGTGCCGGCCTTCTGCTGGACCGAGGCCGGGGGCAAGTCGTTCGTGTCGGTCGTGTACGTGGGCGACAACCTGTGCGGGCACCCGGGCATCATCCACGGCGGCTTCCTGGCGACGATGCTGGACGAGGGGCTGGCGTGGTGCTGCTTCGGGGCGCTGCCGCACAACATCGGCGTGACGGCCTTCCTCAACATCAACTACCGCAAGCCGGCGCCGGCGGGCAGCTTCCTGGTGCTGCGCGCCGAGACGACGAAAGTCGAGGGCCGCAAGGCGTGGGTCAAGGGCCACATCGAATTGCTGGCCGAGCCGGGCGAGAAGCCGACGGTGCTGACCGAGGCGGAGGCGCTCTACGTGTCGCCCAAGTACGCTGCTGTGAGTTTTGTCTAGGCTCTGCTTGGATCCCGCCGAGAACTACTGGTGACTGACTTGTGGCGTGCCTGCCTGCAGATGATGCCGCGAATTCACTAGGCCACAGATGGCTTCTTCCACTGCTTAGATGCACAGTATAGACTTTTAGACGACTACAACGACGACGGCCCTAACAAACGACGTCAGACATCCCGGGCCGCCGGGACCCCGGAGCTGATTTGGGTCCCAGATAGACGGTGGTGCTCGCTGAGGCCGGTGTGCCAGATAGACGGGAGGCCGAGGCGGGCGGTGGCAGTCGGGGCCACGGCGGGACGGTGGAGGGGCCACCGGAGGGAGATGCAGGACTGGCCTGCGACGGACCATAAGTGCTAGACCTGGGCGGCACGCCCATCCATGTATGCGGCTCTCTTTCTTTTGCGAGCATTTACACAGAGCAGTACGCTATAGTGCTGCGCAGTAGCATCAGCAGCGGCATACGTAGTTCAAATCACGGTTACAAGATCTACACATGTGCACGGCAAACGGTCTGCGACGAAAGGGTGAGCGGGTAGTAGCAGACGGGGCCATCCATGGATGCCCGGAGATCAGGCACCTCCAGTGCAGGCGGAAAGGCCCTGGAACCCCCTTGGCTGGCGGGCAGTGCTGCCGCTGCCCGCTGCCCACTGCGCCGCTAGCGGACCCGCCCTCGGGCTGTCGCCATCGCCGCCTCCCGGGCTGTCGCCATCGCGCCGCCATCTTACTCGTCCGTCGCTGCGATGACGAGCTCTGCCCGCTGACGCCATGGGCAAATTTGCGATGCACTTTCCCGCGAGGGCGCGCCATCATGTGGGCTTCCCTGCCCCGATTTACCGCGTAACTTTGGGAGGTAGGTGCATCCGGCAGAGGGTCGGACGGCCCCTGTGGAGGACGGCAATGTCCAGTAGAGTAGCGACAGAAGCGAGACTGAGTCGGTAGCGGGACAAAAAATGTCGCTTCGTCGGACCGTCGTCGTTGTCGTTGTCGGCGACTGCCCGTGACGTTGCCTCTGTGACCACGTACCTTACATAGCACCGCACTTCATTCCTCGTCCGTCTCTCCTTCACACTCTTTCCTCCTCTCCATCCCTCCCAATTGACGGCCGCTCCTCTCCCTAGACATCTTCCACAATGGCGACGTGAGTTTACTCCCCTGGCGGATGAGCCAACCCTCCCCCCGCGATCCGAACCTTGCGCCCCTCCATTCGATTGCCCCTCCATCCCCCCAATAATCCCCATGCCCCGCGCCCGTACATCCCGCCCGCCGCATCGCGACCGGCCTCACTTTTTGCGTCTTCCTTTTTTGGTTGCACTCTCTGTAGCCTTGCAATTGCAAAGGAATAAGAGGGATAAAGACGAAAACAAAGCAAAGACACACACACATCTCTGTTGCTTCCGCACCGTCGCCTTGCGTCGCTGACTCTCTCATCACGCAGCAACATCACCTGGCACCCCTCCCTCTCGCGCCGCGAGCGCAACCAGCTCCGCGGCCAGCGCGGCCTCACCATCTGGCTGACGGGCCTCTCCGCGTCGGGCAAGTCCACCGTCGCCACCGCCCTGGAGCAGCACCTCCTGCACCTCGGCCGCGCCGCCTACCGCCTCGACGGCGACAACGTCCGCTTCGGCCTCAACAAGGACCTGGGCTTCTCCGAGGCCGACCGCAACGAGAACATCCGCCGCATCGGCGAGGTCGCCCGCCTCTTCGCCGACGCCTCCACCGTCGCAATCACCTCCTTCATCTCCCCCTACCGCGCGGACCGCGACCTCGCCCGCAAGCTCCACGACGCCGCGCCCCAGGGCTCCGACGACGAGCCCATCCCCTTTGTCGAGGTCTTTGTCGACGTGCCCCTCGAGGTCGCCGAGCAGCGCGACCCCAAGGGCCTCTACAAGAAGGCTCGCGCCGGCGAGATCAAGGAGTTCACCGGCATCTCCGCCCCTTATGAGGAGCCCCTCAACCCGGAAATCACCATCAAGACCCACGAGAACTCTGTTGAAGAGTGCGTCGCCCAGATTACCCAGTGGCTCGCCGACAAGGGCTACATCACCATCCCTTAGAGTCAGAGTTGCCTTTATGCTAGGACGTGAGGGGAAAGCGAGAGACAAAAGGGGCCCGAGGCGCATATGTAAAAGGGAGCATCGGTTTACATACCACCGTCGTCCAGACAATGCAGTATACTCCAATAGCGGTGCCATTTTACTTCCATCTTCAATAGACTCGGCGATAGCCACCCTGAAACGCAGTCGTTGTGTCGCCTGGGCCGCGCCTCGACAACAGGTAGAATACAGGTCGTCCAGCGCAATGCAATGTATGTCTGTCGAGCCGTGTCGGCCGGCGTCCCTGCCGCCACACAGCCCGCTAGGGAAACTCCAACTCGTAGTAGACGAATGCCGTGTACTCGTGCCCTTCTCCCGTTCCCAGCCCGGCCGCCGCCATCTCCGAGCTCATAGCCGCATCGTCCTTGGTGACCCTGCCACGCTTGTCGCGCCCAAACGCGTTGCCGCCGAGATACGAGTAGCTCGAGTCTAGGGCCGTCTTGACCTTGGGCGCCAGCTTTGGCGTCGTCTGCGTGCGTTGCTCATGTCAGCTGTCGCTCGCGCTCTTACGGGCCTGGGCGCGTTGGTGACATGACACGTACCTTGATCAGGGCCGTCACGTAATCGAGTGGCAAGCCGTAGCGCAGCACGGCCTCGACAAAGACTCTCAACGTGAGGACGTGGATCCAAACCATGACGCTCTCGCTCCATCCGGTGCGTCCCATCCGCAGAGCCTCGCCGCACACCTTGCGCTCCTCGTTGGTCACCTTGTCAAGCTCGCGCTGCTCCTCTTCCCGGCCACCCTCGACGTATGTGTACTGACGCGGCGTCCACTTTTGCTCTCTGCACTTGTGGATGAAGTCGGCGCTGTGCTTCTTAAATGTCGCCGCGGCGAAGAGGGTAAACTCGTCGTCGTGATCGATCTCGACGGCAGAGCGGGGCACTACCATGGGCGATAGCGTTTCGTACGTCTTGAGGAACTCTTTCTTGACGTTGGTGGGCACGGCGATGAGATGCGTCTCTATGTACTCGGAGTCTTGGATCAGGAGCTTCGGGTCGACAATGGGCGTGAGCGACTTGGTGGCGAGATTTCCACTGCATGCAGCCCAAAAGGGGCTCGTCAGCCAAGGAACGGTGTCAAGCATATCAGAGGCTTGCGCTCACGTCTGACGGCGTTGGAGGGCTGCGAGGTTCGTCTTGACCGTGTTATACTGGTTGAACTTGGTCTTGACGTCGTTGTCCACGTTGACGAGCTCCTGAGGGTATTGTCAGCACGCTTGCTTGCTGTAGCTGAGCGGTATAAGTGCGCGGGGCCAAGCAACCTTTTGCAGGGTGTCAATGAGCTCGCTCAAGGGCTTATCGGCGCGGTACCGGATCTTGTTCCAGGTGAAGCTGCGGAGGTACTGGTCCGTCGGTTCTGCATTGGGTGGCGCACACGAGTCAGCCCATGTTCGTGATGCGGCGCGCGGCGGAAGACGCGAGAACGGGAAGAGAGGGGCACCGACTATCGTTGACCATCTTGTACGAAGCGAGGCGCTCCTCGTCGTTGTTGAGCACCTGTCGCAGTGAATCGCCGACCTTGGCCACGACGGCCTGGCACGAAGCTTCGAGCTTAGCCAGCTCATCGGCCTGCTGAACGAGAGCATCAAGAGTTCCTATCTTAAAGTCGGGGATACCAAAGGGCGTGACAGCGCCATTGTCGGAGGAGATGGTGGCGCTCAGCGACGAGATGGCATCGCTTCTGTCGCTCGAGTCGAAGGCGTTGAGCGGCAGCGACACCAGCGCGTACTTTGTCGACATGGCGGCGGGCGCTCAGAGAGCATCAGGCGAGGGAAGGATGCGGGAGGAGAGAGCGGGCGCCGCTGCGTGTGCGGCCGACGGTCTGGTGCGACGAGGCTGATGAGGATGCTGATGAGGGTGCGGTGCAGCTGGAGGTGAGGTGTGGTCTGGCTGGCGTCACTCTTGGATGGACCGGCAGGGCAGCTCCTCCAGTCAGCAGCAACAGGTTCCAGTTGCAGGTGGGGAGCTGGACCAGACGCCTCCAAGTCCAGCTGCCCGGTTCCTCAACTCCACTAGGAATTGGAGCACAGCAGCGCCTCCGGATGCCAGTTTAGTGGGTGTTTGACTGCTGCAAGGCGCCCGGGCGGGTGTTTTGGTGCTTCCATCCCGTCCCATCCAGGATGCTCTTCCCCACTTGCCCCCTCCTCGTCTCCGGGAGCCAATGGCCTCCATCATCTCAGGCTGGCTTGCGCAACGCGCCAGGGGCTCCAGCGATGGTTGCCGCCCACTGCCCTCCCGTCCATGTCCGTGCCTAGGTAGGTTGGCTGCACCACAGGGCGCCCACAGCCTTCCTGCAGCGTCCATCCACCACCCAGCAGCCCGGCGCGCAGCCCCTCACAGCGGCCTCGATGCACTTCGGATCCCCAAGCTCCAGCCGCAACGCCAGCTCCGGCTCGGCCCCGTGACCGTCGGGGTCCCTCGTCCAGCGCCTGCGCCCAGTGGGGTTTCCCCCCGCCAGCTGCAGGTATGACAGCACCGCCTGCCCTGTGACATGCCTGCCCGTCTCCCAACGACCTGGATAGGTGAGGTCCGGTGCGGCGACCACCACCTCGCTCCCACTGGCCGGGAATGCCATGGCCTCCCCTGGCGCAACAAGCCACTGGCAACGAGGCTGGCCGGACTTCTCTTCCGACGTACAACACCACGCTTCCTCCGATCATCGTCGGCCCTGCCACAGTGCACCTATATCCCTTCGCTGTCCGTCTCTGTCGACTCGGCAGCTCTCCGCGGCATGAGACCCATTGCGAGCTGATACGGGCCGCGACGAGCCATCCTCGACTCTGATACAAGGACAGGCCACCTGCCCGCGGTCGAATCTTCAGCCTCTTGCTCGAACCAGGGAGTGGGAATGTCACGAGCTACCAGCTGCTCGTCTTGAGCCGAGCCTGGGATCTCTTTGGACGCCATGTCTCCGGCTGCCCGTTTGTCTGCCCGTCATGTCATCCGTCGCATCATCCATGAACTGATAGATGCCCGCCCTCAGCAGCCTCTGTAGCTACGGCTTCACAGATGACTCGACAACACGAGATCGACGAGGCAACAGAAGGCGAGCAGACCGCCAATGGCAATGGCGCTGCCGAGGATGCGTCCCCGGGGCCACAAACCGCGGAGACGACTACGGCGACGGTCCCAGCTGCTCAAGTCGACAAGAGCCCATCTGCTCAAGCTCCAACCCTGACTCAAGTGATTGTCCCTGCTCCCGCCCTGGCCCGCGTGATGGCTCCTGGTCCTAGGCGCAAGAGCAAGACGCCCATACAAGGTTGGTGAAGCGCGCATGCCCTCGTCCTCGTCACCCCAAGGTGAAGGGAGGCTTCACACACGCGCTGCAAGCTCTAACAAAGATGACTGCACAGATGTCTCCAACTCTATTCGCATCCATGTCGACGGTCGGGTCAAGAATCCGATACCCAGCAGGATCCAGCACATCGCCAAGAAAGACAGCGGCAACTTCTCCGTCATGCACATTGGTGTATCTGGCACCATGTCCGAAGATCCGGACGCTGCCGCCAGACGAACCAGCGAGAGGACCGCAGCGCAAGCAAGGCAGGCGAGTCAAGGAGGCTGGCAACCACCCAAGCGCTCACGAGCCGCCTGGCATACCGACGGCCCGGACACTCCCGCATCCAGGCTCGCCTCACAGCCGCCAGCCGGGACGCCGCGACAACACCAGCAGCCTCCCCTCGCCGGCCCGCCGCCTCAAGAGGCCAAGTCAGAACAGGCGCGGCTACTTACACTGCTTCGAACGCTGCATCCCCTGCTGGTGGTGGATCAGCTATGCAAGGCCCTGGCATACTTTGGCGGCATTCCTGGCGCTCCGCCTCCCGCGGACGGCGTATTCCCCCAGAGTGCGACTAAGAACGGACCCGGCTCGCTCCTCGTGGGCTGGCTTTCCGAAATCTTCCCTCACGTCGAAAACCCTGGTTCAATCGCGCCGCCGCTACAGCTCCCACCCCGGTCGTCTGCGCCTGATGCACCGAATTGGGGCAACGTCGTTCCATCTGGCACAGCTCCTGGCAAGAGGCCTCGGGGCCGGCCCAAGGGTAGCAAAAGCTCGAAGGCTCGCAAGGACAAGGGCCTCAAGAAGTCTCGCCCGGCAACGCTCCAGAGTGCAGGCGTTTCACAGCCCACGGCAGTAGGCGATCGTGACGAAATCGGCGACGCTACGTCTAATACTCCTGCAGCAGCCGCGGCATTGGAGCCGCTTCAGCCCGCAGCCACCGAGACGGAAGCATCCGCGCCAGATGTGCCGGCCAGCAACCCCAACCCGGATTCGAGCATCATTAGCACTCCTGGTGGGAGGAAGAGAGGCAGGCCCAAGGGGTCCAAGAATCGTCCCAAGAGCAAGCCAGATGCTCCGCAGGAAACCCCCGATCAGCAAGGCTCGGAACCGCCCGCCCCGGCCCACCAATCCCCCAACACAGCGCCGCCAACATTCAACGCTGGTCAGAGCGTCGCCGCTTTGCCCGCCGGCGGCCTTGGTTCAGGCTCACCTCCGAGGAACCTTGCTTTGAACAACGGCGCATCGTTGCCAAGCCAGTCTAGCACCAGGGCTGCTGTGCCATTTGTCCCCAGCTCCCAGAGCCCGAGCCAGCCACACGGACAGCATACCCGGCCTCCTGTTCTTTCAAAAGCACCCCATCAAAATGGCCGCACAACGGAGACAAAGAAGCGGGCGCGGGCAGCAGAGAGCAGCGATCAAGTGTCGACTGAGGAGGCTGCTCACCAAGATGAGACAGCAGGCAGGCGACAGAAGGCACCCAAGGCCAAGAGACGACGCGTGACGAAAGATACAAACCCCGGGCACGTCACGGGAGCCGCGCAAAGCACGGAACAAGACACGAGGCGCTCCCAAGCTGTGTCCCAGAGCTTCGTCAGCGAAACAACGACGCAGCCAACATCTAGGAGCTTCGATTCCCAAGACTCCGTACACGATAGCTTGTCCACCCGGAGAGAAGGGACGGTTCGGGGCAGCCCTCAACAGCATCGACATCAACACCAGCAGCAGCACCAACAGACGCAACAACAGCAATTTGGCTCGCAGCAGCCAAACGCTTCACCTACTCTGACGGGAGTCGATCGTCGTGCTCACCCTCCCATGCAGGCCACCTCGTCCCCACAGAGAAGAGATGCAACCACGACTTTCTACGGGCTACAAGCTCATTCGGGCATGTCGCCACAAATGGTCTTTGCTCAACAACAGCGCCAGGAACAGCAGCGCCAGGAACACCGGCGGCAACAGCAGCAGCAATATCAACAGCAATCACCCCAGCCGCCTCAGACGACAGCCCCCCAACGCACCAACGCCAACATGTCTCACGGGGTTAAACCCATGGACAGCCATCCGCAGTATCGACAAAACATGGCGGCGCAAGCGCCCTTCGGCTCCGCAGTGGCCAGGGTTTCTCAGCAACGTAACATGGGAGCTGGCCGTGGCCAACGACAAGGCCCACCGCAGCAACCAGTGGCCCGACAGTCACAAGGAGGGGCCAACCAGAGCCGGTCGCAGCTCCAAGAACAGCAGCTCGGCGAGATGAACTCGTTCGCTTCGTCTTACGGGGAACAAAGCTTCCTCAATATGGACTATGGGCTCACCGAGCGGGATCTTCAGGATGCCGAGGCCGTTATGGGCCGCCACGGTGGATGAGCTGCTCTCGGCTCGAGACGGAGCCACCTCTCCTTCGGCCCCTTTGCCTGTCTTTTTGATACCCCCACCATTTTGATGAAGAATACTCCGTAATTGCTACTTGTTCTGGCGTTGCACATTGTCCTTATCTCGCCGTACTCGTTAAGTCTATCTTCGCATCTGCTGTCTGTTTTTCTGGTGTTTTGGGGCGGGCCATGGCGCATACTTTCGGGACAGATGAGCGACAAAAAGGTCAGTTGCGGTTTACTCCCAAGCACGAATATCAACTTATGAGCGCGCGGGGAGTTGAGGCATCAGGCTTCTGTTTGTTTGAGTTACAGCAATATTACTTGTGCATCACGAGACCATGTCCACATGAGACGTGTACCGAGTCGATGGGTGGAGCTGCCGACAACACCCCTCCAAAGCCTTGATCATGGCTGCAACGTTCACTCTCGGAGCGAGCAACATGCGTACTTCCCCATCACACTGTGCCGTATTCAGGATTCGGGTACAGTTTCTATTCTCCTATGTGCTGCAACAGCACATTGCCTGACGTCCGCCCGCAAGACCGCTATCGTCGGCGCAAGGCACGTAAAAAAAAGGGTGGCGAAAGCGAGAAAGCGGTATCTATGGCGCCGTTTCTCCAGATGCCCGTCGTGAATGTGGCCTCGAAAGAAAAAAAAAATAAAAAAACAAGGTAGTCTGAGCCCGCATGACCCATCTTCATGTCTGTCGCTCGCCGGGACCTTTGTTCCCAAGTAACCCCATTGCTACATGCCAACGCCTTGTAAATGCTCAAACGTACTCTTTCCAACATAGTAAAGAAAAGGTGAAAAGGAACGGTGGGACGCCGCGGGGTTCTGTGCGACGCCCACCCTGTGGGAGCTGCAGCTCGGGCCTTAGTCGGCATCTTCGTCCGTGGCTGATGCAGGTGGCCGGACAGATTCCGGTATGCTTCGCCCGTACCACCACTCATCTTCCTCGTCGATGCCGTCCTCGCGGATAAGGTCGAGCATGACCTGCTGGTTGCGCTTAATGTCCTGCGTCCTCGAGACGATGCCACGATCGAGAATGGTGGCCTCGGCAGTGGTCAGCCAGATCTGCTGGAGGACCGGCAAATCGTTGAGGAGGCCCTGGGCCTTGTCCTTGCCAAGCTGTGCCATGGGCACGTCAGCTGACAGGCTTGTGTTGAATACCCAGTTTGGATCGAAATAGCCGCCGGCGTTGGTAGCGTCGATTGAGCCTGTCGGACTCCGAACCTTGCTGGACCCTTCACTGAAGGAGAAACGGCCGCCGGGTCGGTCGCCGCTCGTCGACTTTTTCCGTCCGAAGCCTTTCAGGCCGAGACGTGACTTGGAAGGCGCGTCGGCACCGTGATCCTTGGTGAGCCCGTGATACCATGTATCAACGGCGGCTCGGCGGCTGTTGTAGCCCTTGATCTCCCACAGTCTTTCCACCTGCCGCAGACCGCCGATGCACAGGATAGCCACATGGACATCGTCGGAAGGGCGTTCTCGTAGGTAACCTCGGATGGACCGCTCGACCCTACCGACATACGTCGGCGGACGCAGTCGGCGGCAAAAGGAAGAAATGACCAAGGGGAAAACTTCGTGAACTCTCAACAGAGTTCGGTCGTCGTACATGCCCATGATCTCTTTCTCGATCGGGTTGATGGTGTATGGCTCCCGCTGTAAGCCCTGCCCGCCATGTTCGGCGAGGTGCTTCAGGTGGAGCTTTCGGTACGTCTCGAAAAAATGGAAGACGGTGAAAAGCAGAGGTATGAGGCGTCGGCGCATTCGTTCGTGTTGTGGAGCGAAGGCCGCTCGCTGTGATTCTGTTTGGCGAAGGAAAATGTCCTTGGTGATCCATTCGCACATGAGGTACGCTAATTTGGCAGCAACGTGCAGTCGATGCCAAAGGCTGCAAAGATAGTGGAAGGTGATTTCGCTGTTGTCGGATATAGGATAGAGGCGGAGAGCGTACGCAGGGATGTGATTGTCGAGGTGGTGCCGTACAATCGGGGCTTCGTTCAGTGTGATTAAGGCGTGCCATGATTTCGAGGCGAGTCGGAGGTTGAGAACGTCAGTCAAGGGTAGGGTTGATATTATCTGAACCTGGAGTTCATTCGGCAACGCAAGGAAAAGTTGATCGAGGGGGGCACTGGTCAAGACGTTAGCAACGATGTTAAGCAGGCTGGCTGGGCTGTAAGGCCGGTTCAAACCTTTTTCGCGTCGACTCAGTCGATGCCCTGGTCTGTGGGAGAGCGACGGGCTCAGACTCGAGGCTGTGCGCTTTCGTGTGCAGGTTGGTGACTCTGCGCCTTATGCTAAAGAAACGGCTCTTGTCCCGTTTCGACTCGACCAGTCTGGAAACGTCGGCTTCGGCGTGCTTCGATTCACGCAACGGCAGAATGAAGGTCGAGGACGAAACGGAGGCGGCGGAGCCTTCTGTCGGCTCATGGTGGTGATGATGTTGCTGCTGCTGGCTCGCATTGAGCTGGCTGAGCTTTTCGAAGTACCGCTCCGAAGCGAACTCGGTGATGTGAGGAGGGTCCATGGCGGTGGCGGGGCGATGTTCAGCCATGGTTGGCGAGGTGGGAGAGGGAGATAAAGGAAAGGGGAGCGAGTGACAAGTAGAGTAGCTATCCTGCTATCGTCGACGGGCGGCAGCCCCGGGAAGAAGCGTCTCTATTGACCGGCGCTGGGCGAACAAAGCAGGCTGAACATGGCGAGATGTAGACGGAGGGTTTCGGGAGGCGGTCGAGGCCGATCGAAATGAGGTCGAACGCCAGATGCGCCGTGAGGCGGATCGAGATAGGCGCAGGTGGTCGGTCTCGTGGGCGATGGCCTCGTATCGCTTTGAGTCAAGACGGCGCCCGTTAATGTAACGGTGCAAGACGGATCGACTGATTATCGCCGCCGGGTGTCGCAGGGAGCAGCGCGATTGTGCAGTCGCTGCGGAGCGTCTTTGCAGGGTCGTGGTGAGCGCTGAGAGGCTGCGACAGTGATGCCGCTGGACGATGAGGAGGCGACGGGGAGGGCGGGACGTGGTTGGCGGCGTCGTCTGTCGGTCGCGGGCGCCGGATGAGGAGGGCCAAGGGGAGCCAGACGGTCGTGTGAGGAGGAGTCAGGGCGCAGATTGCCGTTGGCGGAGGACAAACAGGAACGACGTCGAGGGCAGGCGATCCGAGAGAGGGCAGGCGGCGAGAAGGAATTGTTGGTGGATGGACGGTCGGATTGGGGGGAAACGAGCCACCACGGCGGGATGGGATGGAGAGAGACGGATGGATGGATGGATGCGTGGATGGATGGGGGATGGATGGGAATGGGAGGACCAAGCAGAAACCTGGGCAGGGAAGGGAGGCGGCGGAGGACGGGAATGGAGAGCGGATGGGCAGCGCAGCGCTCTTGTGGCAACGGCGACGCTGGTTCGTCGAAACGGCCGTTTCGCCGGCGTAATAGTGGAGAGGGGACCAAGAATGTGCCTTTTCCACTGTGTCCACTGCAGCCCACTGTGCGCCAGTCCGTGGTG